AAAAGTGAAGTTAAATTTTCAGATTTCCAAGGTTTATTTCATTCAACTTTCTTCGTACGTCTTAATCGTCTTAAAAATTTCTATTCTGAACTCCGTCGTACGTACACGCTGTCTATTCTATCTCCCTAACAATATTTTAATTCTAATTGTTTGATAATACGTAAGTTGGCGTTAAACGGCGCATCGCGAAGCGGATCGCGAGCGTTACGCAAGCGAGGGGGGCAAGTTATGGAAACTGGTAATAAGCCCAGTTTGCCAGTCGCGAGTGAAGATCTCACCTCGTTCCCATTGGAAACGTTTCCGTACGAAGATATGAGAAAAGTTGCTGAACGGAACAACAAACGTTTGTCTTCCGAAGACAACGAGCAGGCGAGCACACACGTCCGTGACGTGTCCCAGAATTCGTTTTTGGGTCGCGTGTTTGATCCACCGCGTGGATGAACCCTTCATCACCCGCCTCATCTTCTCCCATTGTGAATGGAAGGAGAAGAAGAAGAAGAAGAACAGAGAAGAACCTCGAATCAAAGGCGACTCTCGCGATCGATCTGCATCAGCATCGTGCACGCACACGGCAGAGATCTAACGAGAGTGCAATCGGAAGACGGAAAAGTTGGTCGTTTCAGAAAGAAAGAGGAAGGAGGAGGAACGAATTGGCCCGCTGGGCGGACAGAGATGACGATAATGAAGATGATGCGGTGAAGAAATGAAAGGAGAAGGAGGAGAGGAAGGGGGAGAGACATCCGGTGGACGGGCAAGGGCATTCATACACGTACTCTTCGTCCCCGCGGGGCAAGAGCAACGCGCTACACGTGGAAAAAGAGCCTAAGGATTCTCCGTACGCTTGGCGAACAGCCGCTGAAGACCATCTAGGCCTTTCCGATCTTTAACCTCTTTCACAAGGTATCATCTATGGTCTCGTGACCACGACACGACGTTTTTCTCTACTCGACAGTTTCGTCGAATATCTGGCGACCTCTTTTCTCGAATTTTTGCCATTTGTTTTAAAATTGTAAGTTTGAGGGATTATTGAATGAAGAGACTGCAAAGCATCGGTCTGTTGATGGATAAAATCTCTTACATCTTCTGAGCCTCGTTGGCCAACAAAAATTTGTCGAGTAATTTATATATATTTTTTTTATCAGTTAATCAATGTAACTTATATGTTATTTCTGGAGGATGTTGAAACAATTTTTATAGTGAAAGAATACGTTGATTAAAAAAATATGTTTGTATTAATTAAGAAACACGTGAAAGTTTTTAATGAGAACATTCAATGAGAGCTTGTTTTTTAGATCAATCCATCAAAATCTGGTTCGATAGTGGCAATACGAAGAGTATTTTCAAGATGCTCGTCCTTATTTTCTTTTCTGTGTGTTTCATATAGGGGGAAAAAATCTGCTCGTAAATATAATATAATATAATATAAATATAAGATATATATATAATTATAATATTAATAATATATAATGTAAGGGATAAATATAATAATATAAATATAAAAGATATCACAAACATTCATGATGTTAAAATTAGAAAAATGATAAAATTCTTATTCAATTATTCCAATTTTGGCTATAAAGCGCATTAATAGGATCTAAGGGTCATACTTTAATACTTTACACAATAAAATACGATAAATATACGAGTAGATAGTAAAAATAGAAATTGTCCCAAGTATTATAACTTTCTTTCTTGATTCAAGGTCCAAGACTTCTTGAATTGCTCGCGAAAGTGTTTGACCATTTTGTAAATTAACTTCTGCGTCTTAAGGTGACGCAGCGATAGGAAGCAGTTAGATCAATAAAAGGGTGCAATTGTCGAGTGGCCAGTAGCCCAAGTACATACACAACGCAGCCAATTTATCTATTATAAAACGCAGCCACTTTCTCTATCTGTTTGTGCGTGTGATCAATTGGAAAATGAAGACTTTTAGACGACGAAAATGGCGTCATCGCAATACATTGCGATCAGAGTTGCAATTACTTTACAATATTATTCGTTATAATATCATTTTACAATATTATCAGTTACAATTATTTTACAATATAATTTATATATTCAATATTTTATGTTTTCAATATTTTTAATAGCCGAGCAAGGCTATCGATACATTCACATCGTATTTCATTTGAACATCAATGCAATTTGAATATCGTACCCACTTATCGCCAATTTCCTCGCTTAGCCACCGGCTTCTTGCCATTTTCAATCATAAAACTCGTGCAACGACGACAATCTTCTTGCAATTTGCTCGAAATTTTTCAACGGAAGACAGAAAGTAAAAAAAGCTGCCGTTACAAAGCCGTGTTGAGACAAGTATAATTGCCATTTTCACGAACGATATCAAACGATCTACATATACGTACGTACATACTTCGCTCTGAAAACGTTCGTTTCGCGAGCCCACCGCCGGTAATGACTTCCTGCTTTCGTAATGCAAACGATCCGCCCGCGATCGACGATACGAAAGCGAAGTTGCACGACACTCACCCCTTCTCCTTTCCCCGACAACGATTAAATTATTATCATTACGACGGAGAAAGAGAGAGAGAGAGAGAGAGAGAGAGAGAGAGAGGAGAAAGGATGGTTGCAAGTAATATGGCGGGGTATCGGGTTCGGTGGATCGACAGGAAGAGAAGATTTCTCGTGTTTCCAGGTCGTTGCGGCCGCTGGGGTACCGGGTGCTTCAGAATTCTGGGATCAACCACTTGCCCTGGCAAACTGATTGCGGACCATAACGAGTGACTAAAACCCGTATACAATAATTCGTCGTTTTCTTTCTCTTTTGAACTCGCCAATATATAATATCACTGGATAGGAATTATTGAGAAGTAACAAATTTCTTATTTGTTTTGCCTAGGTTATAGTTGAATATACTTAAAACTGCGGAAATATTGCAATTTTAGGGGAAGAAAATTCTCGACGTGCGTGGCACGTCATTCTAGCGCAAGAGGTTAACCACTTTAATTGATTGCGGACCATAACAGGTGACCAAATACAATAATTCGTCGCTTTCTTTTTCTTTTGAACCAGTATGATATCACTGAATAGAAATTATTGAGAAGTAACAAATTTATTATTTGTTTTGCCTGGGTTATACTTGAATATACTTAAAACTGTGGGAATATTGCAATTTTAGGGGAAAAAAATTCTCGACGTGCGTGGCACGTCATTCTAGCGCAAGAGGTTAACCACTTTAATTGATTGCGGACCACAACGAGTGACCAAATACAATAATTCGTCGCTTTCTTTTTCTTTCGAACTCACCAATATGATATCACTGGATAGAAATTATTGAGAAGTAACAAATATATTATTTGTTTTGCCTGGGTTATACTTGAATGTACTTAAAACTGCGGAAATATTGCAATTTTAGGACAAAAAATTCTTGACGTCATTCCAGCGTAAGGAGGTTAACCCTCGACTAACGTAGGCATTGATGAGATTTACGACTATTTGTGTGTGTGTACCTATTGTCGAAACTCACAACTCATTACTGTAGAGAACAGAGAATTTTAAGCGTAATTGAAGAATTACGTATGTATTGTATTAAATGTACACTGGCCCACAAGACTTTAAAACTGATAAAAGTGATAAAAGTAGACACGTGGAATGTGTCTAGGATGGTATCCTCCATTATAAGTATAGAAATTACTAATAATCGTGAAACGTCCAGTATATATATATATATATATGTACGCATCTACAGATAAAAAGACCACGTTCAACAACCTGTGCCTGTGTAGAAGCTAACTGTTCAGTGTAGGTAGCGCATAATGCCAAGAAAGGTATCTATCACTGGCGTCAGCTTAAACCGTAGCACAATAGAGGACAAGGGCCTTTACCTGGTCCTCGAGCCACCAGCTTTCCCTTCCTTCGTCTATTGGCCTCTGTTCCACACTCTACCATTTTCTATACCTGCTCGCCTTCACCAGGTACTTATCTGCCCTTTTTCCCTGGCAAGGCATATATTCGCCATCAAAATTTTTTTTTTTCAAATTCATTTTATTTAATCTATTTTTAAAATTTATTTTGTTTCGAATTAATTTTTAAATTTCTTTTGTTTTTTTTTCTCATTCGTCCTTTTCGTTCGAAGGATCGTCAGTCTTTTAACCTCTAGAATGAGGTTAAAAGACTTCTCATGTGCCACGCACGCCGAGAATTTCTTATTCCAAAATTGTAATATTTTCTCAGTTTTAAGTATATTTAAGTAAAATAGGCAAAAGCAAATAATAAATTTGTTACTTCTCAATAATTTCTATCCAGCGACGAATTATTGTACACGGGTTATGGTCACTCGTTACGGTCCGCAATCAGTTGCCAGCGCAAACGGTTAAGTCCCGATTCGCTGACTGCCGCGTGTTCTCTCCGCCCTGAGGATCGTTCGCCAATTCACCCCTACGCCAGAATGCACTCGCATTGCCCTTTACTCGGCTGCATCGCGTCAGCTCCGAGTTGTCGACCTGGAAACGCGAAAACACACGACTCGTCTTCCTCGCGACGACGGAACAATGCGAAATTTTCACGTACAATTTTCAATTCAAATTTCCGCGGAGCCTCTATGGAAAGCTGTGCACACGCTCGAGCGTGCACTCCGGGCTTTTTTAAATCGGTGCCATCGCCCCGTTGTTCCGTCGTGTCGAGATGGCGTGTGTCGGGTGGTGAAAAACGACGAAGGGGTCGTAGAATAGTCCTCTGCTCTTTCAATGATTATTAGACACGGTGGACGGAGGTGCTTTTTATCAGCACTTAGATATATTAATCTGTCCGACCGGGGGAAACGATCGTCACTCGGATACGTGCACTCTTTGAGTGGTTTCTTTGTTCTCGTTTCTTTTTTTTCATTTTTTTTTTTTTTTTTTTTCTTTTTTTTTTATTTTTTTTTTTTTTACTTATTTTTCTGTTCCCTTGAAATGCACAATTTGAATTATTTTTGGAATTTTTAAAATGCCACTGAAAAATTATCGTGAAAAAGAAACGGTGGAATATACGGAATCGGAACGCATCCCCACAGCAGAAAAACGAAACAAAATGCAGTACAAGATGGCTGCGTTTGGGTGTTGTGGCTACTGATTTGTGTAAGAATATTCCGTAGTGTTCAATGATTAATTCGTAGTGATTTAATAAATATTTGTCGGTACAAATTACGATTGTGTATAATGCGTACATGCGTAAGGCAGTTGTGTTAGAAGGGACAATGCGAGCACGTCGTTGAAATATTAATCACGGGTGAGTTTGTCTTAAAATTTTATGGCTTTATTTTAATAATTGCCCCAGAATAAGGTGCGATGTGACAAAAAATTCTATTGAGTAATCTAACAAAACCATATTTAACAATTAATTAACTGTTTGAACATTACTTATTCCTTTTTATATTTTCTGCATACATGGCGAAATTCTGTAAATACCTGAATCTTTTTTTCTCCGTGTATTTTCATATTATACACGTCGATGAGTACAGCTACAATGTCCATTGCTCCTTGGTATGCTTTAATTGCATTATAACGACGATAAAGTGTTTCGATTTATGTATAAAACTTATCTTATTCCGATTATACCGCTTTCACCGTGACTTAAGACCATTTAAAGGAGTAGAAATATATTGTAATTGTTAGAGTGTTAAAATAGGTTAATAAAGAAAAATGAATTGAATAATTGAAACAGTATGAGTCTTTTTGAACTATTGAGTAATGAAATGGTTGATTTTTTTCAGGATTTTGTATATTTTATATATATATATATATGTGTACATATATATATGTACATATATAAAATGATTTTAAGTAGTATAATATTCATTAATTTTATTTAAGTTATATAAATTTATACTTTGTGATAACATGAATTGATGGATATAATTTTGCAAATAAATACTTAATAATTATATTATATTCTTTTTGTAGCACATTTTCATTTGTAGTTTGTAGTTTAGAAATATTTCAGTTGTATTTATAAAAAAGTTGCTAAAGCTGTTAGGATGGCAGGTTTATAGGAAAATAAGTGATGTTACATTTAAAAATTTACTTAAATCTTAAGAGGATTGTTTATATAACTTAATATTATTCGAATAAGAAAGATTATACAGAATAAAATATAATGTCATAATAACTGACATCATAGTGGAAAAAAAAGGGTCAATTAGTAACAAAAAAGGAAGCATGTTAGCAGTATTTTTTCTTAAGCAGTTATTATAAATATACTGATAGAATATAACTATATAGTTCAGGGGGTGGATGATAGGAATTTACTGAAAATCCAAGATAGAAGCCACTTGAAACACTGGAGAAAGACGGTGGAGCTTCGGAGGAGGAGGAGATGTCTGCCGGCACCCAGGGCGAGATTCGGGTTGGCCCTTCGCACCAGGTTTGCCATATACCTTGAAAACCTTTTTTGCTACGTAGCTATATTGCACAATGTACCTAACTCAAGGCTTGTTCTCCTGAAATATATATATTCTGAATGTATAGATAAGGCAGTTCATCATTGAAACGCCAGGTAATTGTGATATCATTTTTTTCACAATACTTAATACATTCAATGGTAATTGCTCCTCATTTATGTATTTCACTCTTTCTTTATATGTAACTAAAATCAGGGCAATTATTTGTTACCCACTCGTTAAATATTTAAATATTATGCAAAAGTTATCAAAGGATTTATAACTTTAAATAAAAATATTTACTAATGATAACATACTACTAAAAGTGTGAATTAGAAAAGACAAAAACAATTAATGTTTAAATTAATAATTATTCATTAATGTAAGATGTATAAATATATTTAGAAGTATATATGTAAGATATATAGATAAGGTATATTTATTTGATATTTAAAAAATTTTTAAGTTTCTAAAATAAAATATATGTATATATCAAGTATCATTAATAATTCATAAATACTGCTTATAAATATATTATAAACATTTAAATACCTAATTAGTTTATATATCTTTAGAAAAAAAATAAAAATATACTAGTTCTGTAAGAATTTATAGTTATTTTGCAGTGCTATTTAGTATAATTATTTTTTCAAGAATTGTTGAGAAAGGGCATGCACTTAGTTACAAGGTTAAAGTACCAATATCTTATTGCAATATCAATATATTTTTAGTATTTGAAATTCATATTTACTGCAAAAATTTTGATTCAGAAGTTACAATCTTCACAATTATTATACAAAACGGAAAGAGAAATTGTGGTATTGAACTTTAAATAATGCAAATACTTATTCCTTAAATAGCTTGTTGTATGCCGATGGTTCAAATAACAATGATAGTTATTCTTTAAGTCTTACTTACTTAATAGTACAGCCACATCACTCAAATCGCAAATACTATCCCTGAGATTGCTGCTATTGCTGGAAGACCCTAAATATGATGAAAGTTATTATGATGAAGCACTCTAACAATAATGCTATAGGATAATATTGTGTAAGTGTAAGATTAACTTTACAGTGGTTTTCAGTCACGGTGAAATTATAAAATATTTTACTTTTATGTAATAACCCATTGGTTACTTGAACCATCTTTGAAACATTGAAGTTAAGAACTATGTAAAGAATTATTAAATATTCATTTTTTACATTTTGTTCTCATCTTGAAAATGTTCTCATCTTGTTATATTTGTATGTGAAATAATAGTTTTTCATTCATTAGCTATAATTTTCTTGATTAATATTCGTCTACTTACACCAGAAAATAGATCATGTGAATGTGCTTTTTGTTCGAGTGCAGATTAACTTGTAGTTTTAATATGACTGTTGTTAAATGTTATCAAGTCTTAACACGTGTATATAATAATTTCATGTTCATATATATATACGTATATTTATGACCATTAGTTTGTATACAAATATGAAAGTACTCACGCTACTTCTCGTACCAGTATTATAACAAATGGAACAGAATGGAAAAAAATTATACTGGCTCGTGTAGTTTCGAAAAGCAAGCCGGAGTATAGGTGCGTACAACTAACTCGCTTTGGCATTGGTGCTAACCACGCACAATCCCGAATTTTGGGTACAGGAATTGGTTTCTTGTCAGGCCCGTTTGCCTGAGTATCGGCCGGGTATACCTCCGGGAGAGCTGCTTCCTGATCCAGAGTTTTCCAAAGAACGAGAGGAGCTAAGATGGATTCCAGCTATGGCATTAGACGGGGATCTTCTGATGTATTTAAGGGCAGCTCGATCTATGGCTGCGTTTGCTGGTATGTGTGATGGAGGATCCCCGGATGACGGTTGTGTGGCTGCTTCCCGTGACGACACGACTATCAATGCCCTGGATATTTTACACGATTCTGGCTATGATCCAGGAAGAGCATTGCAAGCTTTGGTTAAATGTCCTGTACCTAAAGGCATCGATAAAAAATGGTCCGAGGAGGAAACTGTAAGTAAAAGTTGCAAAATTTGGAAAATTTATTAAATAGCTTTCACATATTTTTTTATCACAATGTACACATACACCTTGTACGTACATGATTTTATAACTGAAAAAGAAAGACCAGACTTAAATTAATTAATTATCGATCTGTCCTGTAGAAACGCTTCGTCAAAGGACTTCGACAATTTGGGAAAAATTTCTCAAGGATTAGAAAGGATCTCTTACCTCATAAAGACACGGTAACAAAATCTACAAGAGAGTAAAGGATTGGAAGAGTAGATAGCAAAGCTTCTTTTTTTCCCCCCTTTATTTTTAGCCGGAATTGGTTGAATTCTACTATTTATGGAAGAAAACACCAGGGGCGAATAATAACCGACCTCATCGAAGAAGACGACAAGGCTCACTTAGGAGGATTCGTAATACGCGGAACTCGCGTGCTGGTACTCCTAAAGAGGAGGTACCAACTGCGCCTAAAGATACTCCGCCAACTAGCGTCAATCAAAAGGAGCCTGTTTCAGAACCGGAAACTATACCTGTTGGAACACCCGCCAGCAATAATCCTGGTGGAGAAATTAGTTCCGTGACAGAAGACGATAACTCAGAAGAGGATAGTGACTCCAGAGATACAAATACTAACGGGGCAACGCATGCATGCCACCATTGTTTTTCGTCTAATTCGAAGGATTATCAGGTAGCTGGCAAAGATAGGTTATTGCTTTGTACGGAATGCAGAACACATTTGAAGAAGACGGGAGAATTACCGCCTGCACCACCGTATCTATTCCGCCCTGTGCCTGCGGAATCACCAGATAGCCCAGGGAGAATGCGTACAAGAAACAAGGCCAAAGAAACGCCTAGACCTGCAAGACCTCGACGTACAGGTGGAACGGATACTCCAGACCAAGAAAAACAACAGCAACAGCAACAAACGCCAGATAAGAGTAAAAAGAAATCTAGTAAACCAGAGACACCAAAGAAAGGTCAGAAACGACCTCAAGCGGATGAAGTAGATGAAGATAAAGAATCTCAGAAGCGGAAACGTCCTGGTGAACGTCCTGAGAGTCCCTCGGAATCTCTCACAACTGATAGCAACTCTCTCATGGATGAACCTGAGAGAGAAGGAGAAGGTGATACGAATGAAAATCAACCTACTCCGGTTACAGTGCCAACTGAGGAGCCTGTTAGTCCAGCAGTAACTACACCAGAGGAGCCTTCTGAACCAACTCCAGTTTCTACCCCCGTACCAACACCTATACAGACATTACCAATTTCTGTTCCTGTTATCCATACTCTAGAAAAGAAACCATTATTAGAAGAACCAGTAGAAACAAAGGATCAAACAGAAGATGTACCTTTAGCTATGAATCAGCCATTGAAGTTGGAACCTATGCCGATAGAACCAGTCATGTCGCCATCTAACGAAGATATGAAAGAGTCCGAACAGCAGCTAAACTTAACTACGTCGCAGTCGTTAAATATGAATGATATGAGTCAAAATATGCCTCGTAATTTGTCACAGTCGATACAGAACAGTGGTATTTGTGCGTCGACTGGTTCACAAGGCATACAAAATTCACAGATCATGTCACCAACGCACCAAGGACTGCCACTTAATATGCAATATACATCTAATGTTCCTCCTGTTCAGAATGTACCGCAAAACTTATCGCAGAGTATGCAAATGCCGCCGAATATTCCGCAGAATATGTCGAACGCGCAAAACATGGGACCAACGCAAAATCTTCGAACACACGGTGAAAATCTATCAAGTACTCAAAATATGCCTCAAAACATACCGGGACCACCATTAAACCTCAATATCTCCCAAAACATACCAACAAACATGACACAGATGCCTCAGATGCCGAGTTCGCCGCAACCACTTGGCTTAACCGTGATGTCTACTGAAAACAGAATATCCGAACGAATTTCCGACGAGAGATTACCTTCAGAACGAATTAGAGATAATAGGATACCTGATAGAATATCTGAAAGGATACCAGAAAGATCAGAAAATAATGAATCTGAGCGAAACGAGTCGAGCAATCTGTTCCAACCTATTCAGTCAAGTGGAATGTTGTCCATGGAAAAACCCTCTTCGATTTACAATTTGGCTAGCACGCCACCAATGGAACCTCAAAATTTAAAAATTAAACAAGAGATCATTCCTCCTGAACCGGATCCTCTTCAAAGTTTAAAAGAAGTCAAAGTTCCTGGTTTTCAGTCTGGTTTTCCTGGTCCGAGTTTAGAGAATATTAAGAAAGATCCAGATAGTTCCAGTAAACCACCAACACCAAGCAAACACTCCATACCAAGTAATCAACCTGTTGCTCAAGTACAATCTGTGGCAGCTTCTCCAACGCCGACTCTTCCACCACCACCTACTTCTATTCCTCAGCCTGTAATGCATCCAGCCCAACAACCGAGTCCTCATATGGCTCATCCATTCCACCCACACCATCCTTTGATGCATCACTCATTATTTACCGCAATGCATCCATACCATCCTCATGCTTATCCAGGTTATGCTCCAGTTGGAGCTTATCCTTCGTTCCCACCATATCCTTATGGTCCAGTTCCCCATGCAATTCCGCCTCCATCTCCACAGAGGAGTCAAGAAAGTACAACAATGATGACAGCGCATCATTCAAGCACGAGTTCCAGTGTGACAACAAGAGAAGAAGGAGAGAATCTCATTGCTACACATCATCACTCATCTACAATGCATCAAGCCACAGCGTTGCACCATGATAAACTGTTAACCATTTCTTCTCATAGTTCTCATAGTCATTCTTCGTCGCATAGTTCACATAATACTCAGCGCAAGCCACTAGTATCAGCCACGAGTCTAACATCCAGTAGTTCAGCGCATCATCACCATAGACCACCGCAATCCCAACCTTCAGTCGCTCCAGAACCTAAAATAGAACCTGATTTGGTAGAACAAGAACAAGAAGAGCTACCAAGTCCACGGGGTCCATCTCCAGAACCTCGAATCGAAGATTCTGAATGTCATAGATCACAGTCCGCTATTTTCTTACGACATTGGAATCGTGGTGAGAACAATTCCTGCACCAGAACAGATCTAATGTTCAAACCTGTCCCAGATTCAAAGTTAGCAAGAAAACGAGAGGAAAGGTCGAGAAAGCAAGCTGAGAGGGAAAGAGAGGAACGTGATAGAGTTGCAGCGCAACAAGCTAGGAAAATGACCACGCCTGAGAAGCAACCAGAAACATGTAAGCCGCCTAGTCGAGGACCTCTTGAGCCTGTTGTATCTCCTTATGATAGATACGCCGCAAGACCGGGATCCTATGCAGATACCCCTGCTTTGAGACAATTGTCCGAATACGCCCGACCACATGCTGCATTCTCACCTGCCAGGCATCCAGCGCCACCAGATCCGATGTTGCATTATATGTATAGCCCTGCTGCCCGAGAACGCTTAGAATTGGAACATTTAGAACGTGAAAAAAGGGAACGAGAGATTAGAGAGTTACGTGAACGAGAATTAAACGATCGACTGAAAGAAGAACTTCTAAAGGGAACACCTAGACCAATGCCAGCACCAGTGGATCCACATTGGCTAGAAATTCATCGACGTTACGCAGCTGCAGGACTTGCTCCTGGACCGTCGGGACCTCCTCAGGCTTTACACCAATTTGGTCTCTACGGAGCTCCACCTGGACCCAGTCAGTTGGAAAGAGAACGTTTAGAAAGACTAGGTAACATTAACTCTCTATCAGTAAGAGCCTATCATTTCCCCCAAAATGTGTATTTTTTTCTCGCATATTGGATTGAACGCAAAATTAGCTATGAATGAGTGATTTTAGGATTTCTCAATCCGGGTTGTTGCTGATCAGGGTTTCAGATGTAAGGTGTAACATTTCCAAACGTTGTTTCAATATTCTTATTGCATTACAGCTAACATTGTATGATATCAAGCTTGAATCGATAATTGCAAGTTGAAATTATCAATATTAAGGAAAATGAAGTTAGATCAATTATCATATTTCGAATTCTATTCCTAATTATGTTCCTCCAATTCCTAATATAGATAACTAGATACAGCTCGCATCTGAGAGTCTTGAACAGCGATTATGATTTTGATTTGATTAAAAGATTTGACCGAATTTAGGATCTAAATCAGCATTGCTCAAATATTAATCTTAAAACTTGTGAAATTCATTTTGTACTAATGATTATTCTTTTTCTAAAATAAAACTAAATTATAGTAAATAAAATTATTCAATTGACAATGCCGATTTAGGAGTAAAGCGAGACAATAGTTGTTTTCAAATGTTAGCTGCCTCTTGTATTTGTCATAATTGTCAAAGTAATGATGTAAGTTATTAATCGAAAATGTCGAAGATCTAACAGAAGATTGCCGCAAAAAGAAAAAGAAATATCAGAAAAAATTCATTGGGAAAACTATTACGTAGCTGGTTAGAATTAAGAGTACGACTGGAATAGTATGTTTGATCGAGGCGCTGTCGGGTTTAGGGATACCGACTGCAGCCGGCGGGGGGCCAGCGAGTGCAGGAGCTGGCCATCCCGTGGCGGCTCATCACCACGGCCAGCTGGACGAGCGACTGGCTCTAGCTGCTGACCCGATGGTCCGGTTGCAGATGGCTGGCATTTCGCCCGAGTATCATGCTCACACTCACGCGCATACGCATGCGCATACGCACTTACACTTACATCCGGGACAGCAGCAGGCCCAGCAACAGGCTCAGCAACAGCAGGAAGCGGCTGCGGCTGCAGCTGGATTCCCCCTGCCTGGTAGGTCTTATTAATCAGGATGTTTGAGTACGCTCCCGCACGATGATCGCTCCTTTCACTGACTATCTGTATAATTGTAAGATCAATAAGAATTTCTTTTGTATGTAATAAGTATATCATAATTTTCCTTTTGATTAAGAGAATAGATATTAAACTTTTTTAATTTCGCTTTAATTTGATAAGTAGATTATAGACGTTTATGTATTCATAGAAAATTTAAAGATAACTATAAATTTATAGAAATACCTATAAATTTATATTTGCATATTATATTTTATTTTATTTCATATTAGGAACTGGAAAAAAACTTTCTATACGTTTTATTTCCTTAGATGTATTTATAAAAATATAAATTTATATAAATATCTCTAGTTTACTAATAAGATTTCCATTTAAAAACGTTAACGAAAATTTAATTGTAATTTAACTTTTTATTAATATGATTGTAAATCTAAATTTAAATATGAATTAATACAATGAAGAGCATAGCTGAACACATAATGATGAAAAATTGTGGATACTTTAAATTGTTATGATTTTGTGCAACAATCTACTTGGTCTCATTTAAAGCACAAAGCTTTTTAGATTCCTTTTTTCCAAAGATATTTTTACATTATATAACGAATGGGAAAGTAAGTACTTTTATTCTTCAAAATTGTAAATATTCGAATATCTTTAAAAACATTGAAAAAATTTTTTGTAACTTGAACCACCACGGTTTTAAAAATTGAAATTTTCTTTTTATAACGATTTCTTAAACTTACTATACAATAGTTTCGCGTCATTTTATTGAACTTCGAACATTAGTGTTAGGATCGTATAACCTTAATGTTCAAAATTCAATAAATGATGAAAAAAATTCAATGTTTTTACATACGTGTGAATTTTTACAATTTTTTTTTTTTAAGAAAAACATTTTTCCATTTGGTATATGATATTAAAATAGTTTGAAAAAAAACGAGCTCAGTTAAAACGGAAGCTTTATATTTTAAAATAAGATGAAATAGATTTTATGATTATTGAAGAAAATATGATTTTTTTACAAACTTATAACAGTTTAAATTATCGATAAATTTTCACTTAAATTAGTTGCTCCACGAAATTAAATTACTGACTCCACGAAAACAGTTTATATCTACTAGAATAATATTACGATTGTAGCAAGATCATAAAATTTTTTTGGAGAAGTCAAAACATCCTACAAAACACATATTTTGCTAAAAACATTATTTATGTTAAAATTTCATGTGTGTGTTCAGTTTACTCATCACTGTGTATAAAAGAGAGTTACAGTTCAATTTCTAATGTAAAATTGCACTTTGCAAGATTTTTTTTTTATTATTATATATACAAAATAAACGAGTCTGTGATCGGAAAAGTGGTCAGTTGCGTGTAAGCGTACCGTAACGTACTTTTCACTTAATCAGTTTAATATTAGTGATTCTAACTTAAACGAGAAGCATTCTAACTGTCACCAATAACTTACCTTTTAAAAAAATAAATAGAAATAAATATAAATTTTTCTCTGCGGCAAATTTTTTTTTGCATTTTTCTGTCGCTTTTCTCGTTATACCATGTTACATTAACTTGGCATCAGAGCTTTTTGATCATCGAGTGCAGCTTCTGAGTGAAGGTACGATCCATCAATAAAGATTCTATGAGTTTTTAATAACGCGAATTACCTTTAAGTAAACTGCAATGATTGTATGCGTGATATATGCGTGAATGGAAACAACATAATATATCTGTACTGCACAAATATTTCCATACGATATTTATTATTCATTTATGAAAATGTTTTTAAAAGTTGCATATCACTAACATAATTTATCAACATTACTTTTTATTATATTATCTTATTGTATCGTCCCATTAATATAGCGAAGATTTCATTAATATCGTTTATTACTATATTAAGTTAAAAATTATTCAAAATCAATTGGTCAATCAGGATCATTTAAGATATAATAATTATGCAAGTATGACGATTGCGTTAACTCTTGGAATGCAAGAAGTAACGTAATTTTAATCCTAGAAAATAACTTTTTGTTATATTTATTTTTATTATTCATAAATTAAAACTTATTAATTAATTTATTTATTTATTTTTTCATCATAAGAGATAGTAATAATATTGCAAGAATTGAATGCAAGATGAAAATAGAAATTAATTCTAGCCTAGGATTAATCTAGGATTGATTTGATTCTATCTAATTAATTTTAGATAGAAAGTAGGAAAAAAAGAAATTTAAATTACAATGCAGCGGCATACGAAAGTAAAAATATCGTTCAACAAATCTCACGCTTGTTTATTTGACCATAAATTCTCATCATGCATGATTGTTTATCTATAAGTTCTCTTAAGCTTTTATTTATCTTATAAAAACAACGCAATTATATTGTACAATTTACTAATGTTTTCTATATGTATAGCGGCAGCTGGTGCAAATTATCCTCGACCAGGCTTAATGCCCCGTGATCCAGCACTGGCTCTTCATCCCGCGGAACTTCTTGGAAGACCATACGCAGATATGGCAGCGCATCACGAGCAATTACAGCGTCATCTAATGATGGAACGTGATCGATTCCCTCCTCATGCATCGCTTGTTGCACATCACGAGGAATATTTAAGGTTCGTCCTTTGAAATCCATAACAAAGCTATACAATTATACCTATGCTTGATTTAGACGACTAGTGTATCGGACTAACAAAAGGTGTTTTTTAGACAACAGCGCGAACGTGAGCTTAAAGTTCGCGCACTGGAAGAAGCTGCACGTGGATCACGCCCTTAAGTGTAATTGTATTTATATATTCTAATGATTATTCTTTATAATTAGGGACGCGACGATCCTCGTTAGATGTAATTAACGAGTACTCGTCAGGCGGTGGTCAACTATGAGACACTGTGCATTCAAATTGACAAAAAAGAAAAACAGGAAAAAAAGATATAAGGATAAGATAAAGAAAAAAAAAAAAAGAAAGGATCTGCTCAAGATCGTTGACCTTACGTTTATGATCAAAAATTATTTTTACGGTTTCTCTTCAGAGTTAACTAATTATCAAGAATACAAAAATGTAAGGATTGTTACGATGTATAACATTTTAGTGTAAATATGACACAATTTAAAATATAATGCTAGTTTGACCTAGCACCATAGAGGATTGAAATATATATATATAAAACTACCGCTTGACGTGTAAATTTGTTTGAAATTTCTCTCTCTCTCTCTCTCTCTCTCTCTCTATATATATATATATATATATATATATATATATATATATATATATATATATATNTCTCTCTCTCTCTCTCTCTCTCTCTCTATATATATATATATATATATATATATATATATATATATATATTTATATGTATATGTATATGTATATGTATATGTATATATATATTATCAATTTCACGATATTACCATATGCTCAAACGAAATTCGTTTCTGTTTGATTTCATTTTTCACAGTGGTGATAATACCAAAGTGTTCAGAAGAGAAGTGGTTCACCGTGTTTCTTTTTCTTTTTCCTTTTTTAGCTCTTTCATGCTTATATGCAGGAAAGTATATCGTTCTCTATTTGTTTTATAACACGCAATTATATATCGATGAACACGAATCGTGTCTTTGAAATGAATAATAATTTTTAGTAATCTTTAGAATAGCTTTCCAAACATATTTAACTGTCTGTACTTCATGAAATAATTCATGAACGATTTCTTCACAGACTTTCCGTGTTTTAGCGTATCATAAGATGTAACTTAAGTTTTAAATAATTATTGTAATTTTTGTGTCAGATAATTTGTATATTTTCTATATGTATCCTTTTAATATTGTACTCCGAAGACCACGAGTGTTTGATACTAATTCGATTGAGCGGTTGATAAGTAATTAAAAAAATAAAACAAAAAAAATGACAAAAAAGTAAACTTTGTAACAAGTGACCAAAGCTAAAAAAAATTTATAAGTGAAAAAAAAATGATGTAAGTGAATGCATAATCTTCCATGATGGCGCGCTCCGCAGTGCTCATAGAAATAGTCTGTATGGTACTGGAAATTGATACGTTTTTTCGATAAATAAGAGAAGAGTAAATGCATAAAAAAATTATTCTGATGACCATTCAAACATGTAAATTTTCTGCTATATAATTAATTCAATGTAATCTAGTTATTTAATTAAGTAAAATATTTCATAGGAACATCTCCATCGTATCTTTTTTCTGTAATCTATTCACAAACAAATGTTTAACATGATTTTTAAAATGGAAAAATATGATTCAGACGTCAAATGATCAATGTATTACGTTTATTTGCATCTTTTTCGAAAGCATTTTTTTTTTATCATCATATACTTTTTTTTTATCATCATATACTTTTTTTCTTTTCTTTCTTTCTTTCTTTCTTTCTTTCTTCATTAATCTGTTGCTAAAGAAAATTTTTATGTAATCAGAAGATCGAATCAGTGTACTATTTCTTACTGCCAATTTGTCTATCATTGAATTCTTCAGATAGGAAAAGAATGCCTGTCATATAAAATATATCTTTTTATGTTATTTTTCAACGCTGTAATATTCAACGAATTTATAAAAAAAGTCAGAAACTAACATAAGACTTACTAATTGGTTTCACACATGGTATTTGTTTTCCTCGTTCTTTCTACCAGTTGTCGCTTGGTTTTTATTGACCGTAATGTGAAATACAGCTTCCGACCACTTTACACGAGTCATCACATTTATGAATACTTCTATGTTGTGTCTAAAGGGAAATGTGTTACGTTAACTACTAATTGTAAAAAACTATTTCCTATGTTATAAAGGGACAAACTATCCAATGAATATTTGGAGAAATTATCAAGATTCCAGTGTAATTTTAAATATTAATAAGAAGGTAATCATACTGTTTGACAGTTTTCTGAGATAGGATGTTTTTAAAATATGTTTATATTAATAAAACTAGTCTTTAAATTTTTATATTTTTAATTAATCAATTTTATAATGTTTTAATTAATAATTTGTTTTTTTTTTATTCCCGTGCAGTGGACAAAACGATTGTCACCTATAAAAAAATTGAATTCCACATATTTTCATTTCAAAAAAGAATTTAATAAAATTTCATTATTAATATATACTTATTCTATACATATATATTCGAAATTAACGCATTCTGTTTTTACTAGTGAAACATCATACAAGTGGTTCGTTCGCCCCTAATCGGATGCATGTGTATTTCACATGTGTGGCTAGTAAAGGGAAGAGGTAGAGTGGGGATTAATGGCAGCACACATTGGGGAAAAGGAATTTCTTGAGAAAACGAAAGAAGACGCGGCGGCTTAGTCATTCATAAACAAGCTGTTAGTGTGGTCGGATACCTCCTGAATTAGTTATTTAACAATTAACTAATAGTGTAGTGCAGCATGGCTGCAGAAAAAAAAGAGGAATCATCAAAACAACGTTATCAAGCGAACGCACGTGAAAGGGATCGAACATATAGGTGAAAATAATTTTTTTTTTATAAAACGCTGAAAATTTATAAACAGAATAATAATAAAGCAATTAAATAACTGTTTAAATTATTTATATTTATTTACATACTCTATAAAAATACATAAATATAAATTTAAAAATTGAATTACAAAAAGCGGGACATTGTATTGTTCAAAGTAATTAGTAAAATATTTATTATTTATGTTTAATAACTTATTAACACTAAAATAATAAAACAATTAAACTATTATATATGTATCGAATTGTAATTATAAAATAAAAGTTCTTAATTACTTTGAGCAATGTATGAATGAAATTTTTGTCTTTTGGTTCAGGAGAATATTTAGTAATAAAAAATTTGCGAATACTCAACGAAGGTAAAGAATCCGAAGGCGAAATTCAAGAAATCCAATATTTACTCTGCAGTGTGAACACGGCTTTCAGTGCTTTGAGAACTTTAATACCGACGGAACCTGCAGATAGGAAATTATCGAAAATAGAGACATTAAGATTAGCAAGTAGTTACATCAACCACTTAGGTGCTGTTCTTGTTGCTGGTCCTATAGATCAACCTTGTTTACGTGTTGAAAACAGCAGCGGACTTTATAGAACAAATCATTGGACAAATTTACAAAAGAGACCGCAAGTCTGCACTTTTTGTCTTGCTATGCACAAAAAATATGTGAGTTAGTAATAAATCTTAATATAATAATAATAGAATTAATTACCTCAGTTATTGTTTATTTAATAAATATATTCACAAATATATATTTATTATATTGTAAAATTCATTTTTTGTAATAATTTATTAGATATATTATTTCAGAAATGAAAAAAATTATTTAAAAAATTATATAATTCTTAATTTTTTTCAAAATTAAAATTTCAATTAAGTTATTTAAAAATTTGTTAAGACTTAAAAGAATTTTATAATAACTAATGGTTTTTATAATTTTCAGAACTTAAATATAACTTAAATACAATTTCAAACTATTAAAGGGAGTACATGGTTTCTATAAAATCGACATTTATTAATGTAAGCAATGCATAAAAGATTAAAATATATAAATATCTGTATATATACATATTAATAAGTTTATATTTTAATATTATTATGTTTAATAAATTAATAATTGTATTTATCGCGTTTGTTATTCAAGACTTATACTAAATAATAAATAGCAAATTTAAAGTTACAACGAATAAACTGTTAACCTATATTCGTATACAAAGAATTAAATTCCTAGTCTCTGCATTCAAACATCATTTGTTATTTCTCTTATAACATTTGAACATCGAATATCCGTATAATCGCCATTGCAATTGGAGTCAAACTAACGCTTTAATATTCCATTTAATATATTATTCAAAAAAATTGTTGTTCATTTTAAAATAGTAATTCATTATGTAAATTATTAAATAAATTTCCAACAGTAATAAACGTGTGAAAAGTAAATTTATTATAGCATTGATAAAATTACAAATGACATGATGATGAAAGCGGTACGGCGGCGAATGTTTCAGTCTTTCGAAGTCAACAATGCTGTGAGGAAGCACATTTTAGTTTTTCTCCCTGTTCTCGTTTCTCGTTTCAATTTCAGTGTTTTTGTTTGGTTATTCATCACGGGCTAATCCATAGGTAATCATGTTTGCTATTGAGAAGTAGTTCTTTGAATGTCTACACATCAAAAATTAGGTAAGGTTCGTAAATAAACAAAAACTAACGTGAATCATAGTAACTGCGATCAATTACCGCCATTATGGTAAAATTAAATTCATCCACAATTTCAATGATTTTAAACAATATAGATCCAAAAATTGAAAAACACAAATATTGTATGACATTTATTTATTATTATTAATTTCAATTATTGTTGATTATGAGAGTTTTATACGGAGAAATACTCCAATTTTCATTATTATCTCTTTAAATTTAATGCAAATATGGTACATTTTATAGATCGATGAAAAAGAAAATAATAATAAACAGTGATACTTTTTATTTTATAAAGGGAAAAAAGGTTAAAATTGTAGTGATTTATTATATAATATATGTTATGACAGTAACATTTTATATTGTATGTCTTTCCAAACAAGAAAGTTGAACATATTTGTTTTTTGAACATATTTGTAGATTATTTTAAAGAACCATAAACGTAATATTTTCCTCAACATTTCTTGCATTCAACATCATAATATATATAATACATCATAATACATCGTAATACGCAAATCTTAAAGTATGGTGTACTTTAAGAAATTTCAAATTTATTTTTCTTTCCTTTATAGAATTATAATATGTGAAATTAAAATTGTATCAAATAAATACGATAAACATCATATATATTAAAAAATTTTATTGTATTATTCAAAACAAATCCGAGGAATAACGTATAACATAATATAAATATACATATGTATATTGTATGATTTATAAATTATATTATAATAAATAAATTGTATAACATATATATAATATAATTTTATTAAGTTTAGAGAAATTCAAAGAATTTATTTTTGCATTTGAAAACATACATGAACACGTACCGGCAAAGCAGGAAGTTTGAACGCTCAATCTGACGAAATCGAGAATTTAAAATCAGGAATATTAGCGCCCTGAACGGCGCGTATGACCGCCATCTTGTAAAAGTATCTGTAGTGTTTGGAGGTTTAGCGAGAAGGAACAGCAGCTTCGCCGGAGGCTGGAAGTCCTTTTGAAGTGGTTGCAACGGTCCTTGGCAGTCCCTGGGCACCCAGGTGACCTCGTGCGAGGCCAGGGTACCTTTAAGCTGCTAGGACAACCTCACGGCCGACAAACTCATTTACACGCCCGACTATTGCGAAGATGGTGAGCATTCTTACACGAAGATTTTGTATCTAATCCTCTGACAAAATTCATATTTCATATCGTGAATATGTTCTCATTAATAATAAAGATGACGTTACTATTATATGCGACAACATATTAGATCAGTTGTCCTTGTCTCTTGTCAAATAATTTCTATTAATCTATTATTATCGATGTTTCAAATCTTACTTATTAGACGAACTGTGGCTTGTCAATATTTTTAGGTAACGTTCGACTTAAACAGTTGCTTTGATCATTTCGATGCGTATCGTCGACACGCTTCTTTACGCTTGTCCCCAATGTTTTCATACGCGAACGATTTAGCATAACCTACGTTTATTTATCGTCATGAGGAAAGAACCGATCGTAATCTAAAGAATTGTTTTTGTTTGAATACAGATTTTCTGATCATTGACAATCCGATTGATTTTATATTGATATTTATGTATCTTTTATATATATATATATATATATATATATATATGTATGTATATATATGTATATCATACAAATGATGTGGAAATTGTAATTTTCTTGGTTATTTTGACTATTTTCTTAATCAATAACACATTCATGGAGAATTTGTCATTTAGTAATTTGATTAAGCATTTATTTATTTATAATAAAATACGAAGTTTTCATTTTTAGTAGCCAAATTTATTTTTTCAGTCTTCATTATTATTATACGATTTACTATTTCATCACTTAATAACTTTGAATGATATGTGAATGTATGACATAAAATTCTTGAATGCTACAATTCTTGTGTTACACAATTATTCTGCATTTATTTCATTGTTGTTTAAGTACATTTTTACATTCTATATATTAGCTGCGTTGTTTTAATATTAGTCATGTTATTTAGAGTTCGGCATCAACGGGTGGTACTGAGGGGTCTAGTCCAGCCTCTAGCCCTGCCTCAGCAACAAGTCTCACTATGGCTGCACCAAAATATGGTACCTTGGTTCCAAATCGCATCTTTGTAGGCGGTATTTCAGCTAATACCAGCGTAGAAGAACTTGCTCAACTTTTTTCCTCTTATGGCAATGTAAAGGCTACAAAAATAATTGCTGACCGTGCTGGTGTCTCCAAAGGTTATGGATTTGTTACCTTTGAAACTGAAGAAGAAGCTAAAAGACTTCAACAAGAGGTTTGTAATATTTATTTTTAACATACTTAATAATTAAACATATAACAATCGTGATAGGTGAAATTATTTTGTTTATAGTCTGAATGCATTGTATTAAGGGAAAGGAAATTAAATATAGCACCTGCAATTAAAAAACAACCCTTCAATAGATCTTTGGATGGTGGTTCTGGATCGCCACCATCTGTACCTACTAGTACTTACTACTACCCAAACGGTTAGTCTAATTATATTTTATAATTTCGTAATTATAATTTACTATAATTTTTTATACTTTCATAATTTAATTCACTATTATATATAAAATTTTTATTATAAAAATATCTTTTATTATATTATATATCTTTTTATTATAAAAATATCTTCATGTATCATTATCAGGTATGGGGCTGACTTACCAAAATGGTATGACATTTTATAATACAACAGCGCCAACCCCAACGACGCCGATTGCCCCGCCAACTGATCCAGCAACTATTTACCAGGCTACTGGAGTGTTCGGTAAATTTTACAAAAAATTATAGTCATAGTTTCTAAAAAAAAGTCAAAGTATCTATGTTAATTGCTGGTGTTTTAATAATTAGGGCCACAAGCTGCTGGTCATCAAACTTTCGCGCCTGTGATGTACCCGTGTCCTGCTCCATCTATCTATATGCCACAGCAATATCAGTATTCACCCATGCCGGTAGGTAACACAAGAGATAATAGACTATATCGACTTCTTTTTCTGATTCTCTTTTTTAATCTTGGGTTCCTTGTTCACACTCCATCATATGAATTTTCTATAGCTTGTATTTCTATTAAACGGTAAATCGGTTACGGTTTGACAGACAAATGGTTTGATGGGAGAAGCCATACCACCGGCGTTTCTACCTAACCCTCAACAAATGCCTACTTACGTCCTTCTCGACGCTATACAGTATTGAGGTCTAAAGGTATATGGTCTCTGCTAAGTGACTAGCATGCATCGCATTATATTTGTGCGTTTTCTTTGTCAAACTTCTGCATGGCCTATCAGAATGCATGCACCTTATGTATTTCACAATTTATGATTTATATTAATATAATATCTTACTTATGAGTTGCGCGTATGAGTGAAAGTTTCTCAGTTAGTTATACTTATTGTGCTTACGTTGCACAAGAATTTTATCGTATAAAATGTTGCAAGTATGTTTTTTTCTTGTCTTGTATCACAGCATATCGTTATTGATAATCTCGCATTCAATTTTTCAAACGTACATTTATGTATCTTTCGACTTCTCTTATATTTTTTATGTATCGTATCTTTATATTATGCAAAGAATATAGAAAAAATGTGACATTCATCGGCTACTATATAATAGTTTTCTATTTAAAAAACGAGAAAGATAGTATGCAATCTATAAAATAAAATAATTCAAATATTTGCACGAAATATTACGGTAAAGTATTTGATACTTGAGTGTTTTCAAAGTATTATTTAATAGTAAATTTCTATCATGTAGCATGTACATTGACCTTCGTACTTCAAAACAAGATCAACATATAATAAAATTAATATTCTTATCCTAAAAATAAATGATTCTCATCTTCATTCTTTGAATAATTAACTAATTAGTGCTGTTTTTTTTCTGTGCAGTACGAGTGTTATACAGGGGCAGTCGCCACCGGAGCTCATCAATACTTGTATTCAACGAATAACTCGCAAACCAACACAAATAGCAGTAATTCTGGGACTGGTAATAATGGCACAGGAGCGACCAGCCCACCAACGGGTCCTCCACCACCTCTTCCATCTTTACCTCCTCCATCTTTACCTCCTCCACCACCGACGCATTTTTATCCTTCTGCCGCTCCACCACCGCATCATCATCCACCGGTACCTGCAAGTCCTGCGCCTCAAATGGATCACATTTACTACCCTTTCGCAGCTGGGCCCCATCCACCCCTTGCACCACATACATCTATGGGATTGACTGATCAACAGTTATTACTTTTCCCTACTGATGCTTCATGTCAACAAACGTCTTCATCTGATGGTCAAGTTGTTCCCCAGGAGGTAAGTCACTTTTTTTATTTTTCTTTAATGATATATAAGTATACTATAATAAGTATACAAAACTAAAATTATTATTCATTATAAAGAAACCTACTATACTTTTTATAATTTAGAGATATTATAGAATTGTATAAGGCAGGTCAATAGTCACAATATTTGATAAAAATACAGGTAACGCATTCTAAAATATGATTTAATTCTAGTAATAATCGTAAGTAATTATTGTAGAAATTATAAGAGAAAATTATAAAAAAAATAATTCAAGAATTTGGAATATTTATTTGCTGAATTATAAAGTTTGTAACAATAAGGAAATAGATTCAATAAATTGTATTTACTACAAGAGAAAGAAAATTATAGGTTTTATATACAATAATTTTATATTCATCGTAAAAGTTTATTATTAAGAATGCTAATTGGCTATGAATTCATAATATGTTTGAAAAATTATTTTTATTTCGATTGGTTTTAAATTAATATTTGTTGATTTACTCAAATCATTGCTAAATAAAGATGTGTTCTTATTGTAATACTTTTAATCCTGATTTTTTATTCTTTCTTGCATAAAATTTTTGAAAATTATTTTATATGCAAAAAGAAAAAAACAGTTGTAACTATTGGTCCTTCCTACATACACACGATTAATTTTTCAAACTTCAAAGATAAAACAAAACATTTGTTTGAAAAGGGAATAGAAATGCTGAGGTTTTCAGGCTAATTAATTAATTATTTCATGTTAATATGTGTATATAAATGTTTTCATGATATATTACATAAATCAATCAACTATGTTGATTAATTAAGAAAAGAACCAATCAACGAACGGAAAACTACCATCTATGAAATAAATCGTAGGATTCTCGTTCGACATCAAGCCACTCGGAGCAAGCACATGGTGAAACACAGGTTGCTTCAGGCTCAACCACACCCTTGGTGTCCTTATTGCCCGTGAAATTTCCCATGTCCGGTCGTTACACCAATTATCATCCAATTGCAATACATACCGCTAACGTATACAGTTCCCAGACATGTTTAAACGAAACTGATGATTGCAGTGGCAATCAGATGCATTGCAGGGCAATCGTATATCATCCAGCAGCCGTTTACATTCCTCATACGCATACACCTCCATTTCATAACACATCCGGTGGTACTAGCCTGTTGCCAACACCTCCATCTGTATCACATCATCAGTTATTCGATTCTTCGAAAAGTCAATGCTTCAATTCTAGAGATTACACGAAATCTGGAAACATGAACGGCCAAAACAATTATTCAAAATCACAGAATCACGGGATCATGTTGTCGCATCAGAATCCATTCTTTCGAGCTCAAAACGTAGGGAATTCTCAGTCATACAAACATAGTAATATAGATGGAAATTATAAGTACATGACACCGGCGATGAACTCGCGATTCTCTATGCAGTATAACAAAAAAGGTACTGGTTCAAATGTGGGCTCTCCGGCTTGTTTCGTAGCACAAAAATTGTCAGAAAATTATAACTCGGCTCAAAAATCGTTTGGTTCGAATACAATCGGCAGTCAATCATATAATTGCACGAATACACAGAAAACGTTCAATCCAACAGCGAATTTCGACTACGCGAATGATCGTAAGATTAACAGCAGCGGTGATCAGTATTTCGAAAACGCGACGAAAACGAATAATTATTCTAGTCGTAAAAATACGACAAATTATAGAAAAAATGGTGTTATCATCGGATCATCGGATCAAGGAGATAACAGTTCAAATAGTCAATCAAATGATAAGTACGTGACTAATATCAAAAACGAGAATAGCAGTTCGCAGGATGTACAAGGGACGGAGAATAGTAGTTCGGAAAAGCCGGTGAGCCCACCACCAGCACCGTATTCGCCCATGACAAGACCCCTTCCAACTTTGTCACCACCCACGTCCCAGGTCCAGTTCTACAATCCGGCGCAAAATCGCTATCAACCATCCTTAGCCCCGTCCCAGCATCAGCAACAGCAGCAGCCACAACAACCGAATGCTCAACGCCGGTATACCATCGCTCCTGCGTTGTCCGCGAGCAGAAAACCGTTGGAGAAGTACGCGAATTCCGGTTCTCAGACAACAACCACGACGATGTTACGGCAGAACAAGTACAAAGTCAATGGAATAATGCAGACTGGTAACAAAGTCACAGATGACAGTCTTGGAGGAGCTGGTGATGCTCCGCCAGGTGTTGGAAGAATGCCGATAACACCACCTGGAACGCCGAGAACTCATTCAGGACATCCTGCTGGCGACCAAAATCAGCTAAGCGATACGTGCCATCAGATGCAAGCTCTAAGCCTTTAAAACTCGTTTTCTCGATATACATGTATGCGTACACAGGCACGATTCGTTTTTCTTCCCTTTCTTCTTCTTTCGGACCTAACTGTACGTATGATAAATGTTACGTACGTGTAATGTTAGAGATAGGTAGATAGATACATAGATAAATGCATTCTTAATTTCGAAGCCGCATTAAACGGAAAATAATGAATAAAAAAAAACGTGTCGATTTACAGACGATATTGATGATTAATATATTTTAAAAAATTATATAGAACGAACACGAACATATTTGAAAACTCATATGTACTCTATTCTCTTGTGATCTCAGTCTCAAATCTTTAAAAAAAAAAAAAAAAAAAAAAAATGGAATGGAAATAAAAAAAAGAACGAGAAAAATATGCAAACTAGATAAAAAGAGCTCCATATGTAAATGTAAATTAATGTTCTTCGATAAATTATTGAATGTACTAAATTGTTAAGCATTTATAAAAGATAAATATACACATACATATTATATACATACATATATATATATATATATATATATATATATATATATATATATAAAAGATAAAAATATGATATTTAAAGATTATTATATTAGTTATAAAAAGAAACCACATATATATATACACTTAGATATATATGTATATGTATATATACTTAGATATATATATGTATATGTATCAATGTGTGTGCGTGTGTGTATGTGTATACATACATATATATGTATGTATGCATGTATGTATGTATGTATGTATGTATGTATGTATCTATCGAAGAAAGCAGATATAGAGTAACGTAAAACAAAAGAAATAAGAGAAAATTCGAAATCAAGCTATATTATTATATATCTCTTTAAACAAGAATTGAAATGTTTAATGAAAGAGTCAGAAAAGAAAATAATAATAATAGATACACAATACGCTACATATTATTTAAAATCTATATATGTTATATATGCAGTATTTAATGTTTATGCGCGATAGGCTCGATAAACCATTGAATCTCACGAGCAAGGCTAGAGTAGGATAGATGGATTACAAACAGATGATAGAACAGAAGAAAACATACAAAAAAATATAATATGGTAACAACAAATAACATGTTATTATCGTACAAAGACGAGCGATTTGTTATGTGTTCAAAGAAAAAAAAAAAATGGTAGTGATTTCGATAAACAATGACAATGGAGCGGAAGGGTAATAGGGAGGCAAAAATAGAATTGATTTCACAAAAAACGGTTGCTCAAGGCACTGCCACATTTCTCAGTTTTGATTTTTTACCTGAAACATGGTAAAACCAGTACTTATAGTTTACTTAGAGTAACCGTGAATAAAAAACACAGTCTTATACAATTTCGAGACATCACCAGTAGGAAAAAATAATGATATACTGATTTACCTTTCTTTTTTTCTTTCGACAAATTATCCGCGTAAAAAAATGCAAGAGCAAACATTTAAAACTAAAAAAAAAGAAGAAAAAACAAAAAGTCATTAAAAATAGCTGTTACAAAAAAAAAAGATGAAAAAAAGAGAAAAAAGAGATGCCCCAAATACCCGAAAAACGAATACGATAAAAAAATATACTTATAAAAGAACAAAAAAAAAAGTATGTAATAATGAATTAAATAAATGTGTCGGCTGTGAGCTTCCAAGCAAATAACAATAATTAAATTATTATAATATAAAAGGTTAAATAATATTCTACCTAATTGTTATAAACGTATAAATTTCTTTTATCTATAACGAAAAATTTGTTATCTCATATCTTGCATATTGTAGCTATTATTGTCTATTTAAATGAGGAAAACGAAAGACGATAATGAACCGAAGGTTTGTGCAGCACTGTGATTTAGATGCGGCGAAATATGTAGTGAACGAATAAAAAAGTTTATGGAAAACTATGGAAAGAGAAGAGAGAGAAAATAAGAAAATGAAAGAAAGAGAGAGAGAGAGAGAGAGAAATAAAAAAAAGAAAATATGAAAGAAAGGAATATATTTGACGAAACGACAAAGGCCTAGAACGCATATAGATTACCCATGAGTCGTTACGAAAAGAAATTAATTTATTGATAAAAAAAAATGTAAGAGTGCCTTCTATTTGTTTCCGTGATTGTATTGTTGAACATTTGTTGCGTTACGTTCCAAGAGCCTCTAATGTTGTTATAAGAAGAAAAAAAGATGTTTGAAGAATGTTGTTCCTCTATTTATTTATTGATTTGCGGGTCCTAATACGGCCCCAAGCACCCAGCGAATTTGAAAGTGTGAAAGTATGCTGTCAGAAGAATGGAATTCGGGAAAGAGAAATCTAATTAAAAATGAAAACGATTTTAACGAGATATTTGAAAAAACAGCTAGATAAAGAAACTAAATTTAATAAGTGTGAATAAAAAAAAACAAAAAAAAAATGACATTTGCATATAGCATTCGAGTCGCATGACCCATTTTTTTTTTTTTTTTTTTTTTTTTCTATTAATTAATTATGATTGTACAAGAAAACGAAAAAAATGAACGATATTATACATATGTAATCGAAGTGGAAAAAATGGTAAAAGAAAAAAAAGGAACAGAGCAGCTCGTTTCGGCACCTATTTCTATGTATAATACACAAAAAGATATCTCAGCAATATACAAAAGATGAATGTATACATATATGTACACATGCGTGTATATGACGTGTGCGTGTGTGTGTGTATGTGTGTGTGTGTGTGTATGTATATATATATTATAAATTATATATGTATATATACATATACATGTATATTATAAATACTAATAAAGATAAGTAGAAAACGTATACCGAAGGTATATAGACATGAGTGCGATAAGTATGTATTAGGTATGCGTGAGCGCGTATTTGGATAGGTGGCTGTGATTATTGCGTGCAAGTTAGAAAAAAAAGAAAATAAGATGAAAACATAGAAAACATGTGAAAAGAAGATAGTTTACGTGTGTAAACATCCGTGTGTAAGTGCATTAATACTGTTTCTCTCATACACACATAAACACTACACACGCATATTTCATACACGTATACATACTTAAAATAAAATAAATAAATTAATAAAAAATATATATATATAAATATATACATCTATAATGAGAAGTAATTCAAAAACAAGGAAAAAAGTACAATTCTATGTTCAGTTTGGTACTCGTTTAACGAACGAAACGTATTCAAGAATGAATCATTTAATTGCAATTATTATACATGTACTAAATTCAACGTAGAATGGTGCTGATACGATATAAAATATAATATGTACTTCGCAAAGTATATTATAATATAAAAGGAAATCTAAGATAGATATTAGCGGGTATGCGTAGTTAAACATAGGAATATAATCGATGTATATTATATACACGGTGTAAGCGGTATGCTTTTCATGATTGTGGATTATTATATATTCACAATGTATTGCATAAAACAGATTTTGTCTACATATGATAAAAGGTTTTTTGTTATTCAATATTAGCAGCTATTTATTTTTTTATTAATTCGATGTCTTTGTTAAATTTCTATTGTAGGAATAAAACTGACAGTATTGTTAAGCATACTCTTAAGATGGTGAAATTTTTGCAATCTCAAGAAACATATTGATTAGATTTTTTGTTTTGTTTATCAATCAGCGATTGCATTCTTATATTTTATTACAATTTGGAAACTAATGTATCAAATTCATTTTAGTTCATGTTTTGATAATCATTCCACAATCTATAAAGCATGCCTGCTAAAACAAAAATTGATGTATTAAGAAAAATAAAAAAATTATATAAATTATATATAAAATGATATGTAGGTTGTACATCAAAAAAAAAACTAAGTACTCAATGATAATAAAAAAATATATTACATATAAGAAATGCATATATTTAAAAATAAAATATAATAAAAATATTTGTGCATGAACATTATATAGATGGAAAAGTAGTAGTAAAGAAAAAGTATAGATTAAAATAAGTGTCAGTCTTTCCTGCAAATATATAATAATAAAACTCTCATTAAAGATATGAAATATACACTGCTCCAGTACATTTGTGTATTTATCTTTTTATTTTAGTTTGTTATTTTGATCAAATCTAAAATGAAAGATAATTAATTAACGAATAATTAGAAAATATTTTTAAATTCGGTATTTTATTTAATAATCAAAGTACATTTTATAACTAAATTCTATTTACTATTTAATTTTTTCACTTGTTAAATAGATAATATAATTTAAGATATTTGTATATTGCATTAGTATATTGTATTTTATCATATCACATGATTTATCATAAAATGGAAGTCTGAATACTTACGTAACAAATCGAATACACTAGAATAAACATTTTATATATTTTATGAATTTGTAAATCTGGATGTAAATCTAATTTTTTTTATAACTAGAAAATATCTGTAATACTTCAATTGAATATCTATATTGAATAATATATGCAATACTAAATCACATTAATCATTATAATCAATTATATTGCAGAAGTTACAACATTACGCATTTATAGTTAGCAGTGCAAAGGCAGTAACATTTACTTGGTTCGGAAAGTTCTTTCAAATCTACTTATTCTAAGTCACTATACATACAGATATATGTATATCATTTTCAAAATATAAATCTTAAACAGAAAAATCGAAATATAATGAATATTTGGTGTAATTTATCTCGAAGTATTAAATTATAAAAAAATTGTTCAGACATTAGATGTCTGTCATTTATCTAAACATTAAAAATTCGTAAAACGGCAACTATAAATATAACAATTTAATATATTGCTTCAATATTCATAATTTATAATTCAGTTGTCATATGTGATGTTAATGCTTGCACACGAGTAGCATTACAACTTTTGCATAATACATGATCATCTAAAGGATAGCAGCCACGCCCCTCAGAATCAGAGGATAAAACTAATCCACAATCCTCGCATTTGTAACACTGAATATGGAAACTACGATCTAGTGCTACAACACGCACAGTTTCGTCTTGTCCTGGTTCTGGCATAATCGGTAGCTTACAAACACAACAACGTGGTGCAAATTTTCTGCGTACAAAAAGAGAAAATTATGTCTTATAAAATTAATTGTGTTCCATTTGAGTAACTACAATACCTTATGGAAACTTACTTGTGGAAACATTCTATACAATGAATCTGATTTGTAGCATCTACTGTAAATGGTATACCATCCAAACTTTGTCCACAAACAACACATGTAAAACAGGATGGATGATAAGGTTTTCCTGTAGCTCTTAATATTCTATCCAGTATTGGTCTAGTGCAAACACAGCATTTTTCTAAAGTGTTTAAGTAATCTTCCTCGCAATAGGGTTTATTTTCCAGTGAATAGAAGGGTTTACCCTGTAGATTAACTTTGCACACAAAACAACAAAAGCAGTCAATATGGAATACTTTATCCATCGCGGAACAACCAGTACCTTCGCCTTCAACTTTACGACCACAATGAGCACAAATTCCATATATATCACTATCTTCTGCATTATCCTCCATTCCTTGAACTAACAAATCAGTTAGAACATCCACCTGAAACAAGTGTAATTTTTTTAAGAATAATTTTTTCACAACAAAGAAATTAAAAGTAATAATTTTTACATACTTCCTTAACTGGAGAGACTTTTCCTTGAGGTTGAGTAGATGTAGCAGAGCCATAACCAGAATACATAGAATAATTGCAAGATAATTGTGAAGGTGGTCTAGGATTAATTGGTTCATATATAGATTCATATGTAGAACTAGATTGTGAACTTGGTCCATAAATATCATTTGGATAATTGTCAGATGGAAAATCAGTTTGATAAGTAGCGCGTCTTAGTTCGCTATAACTGGATGACACAGGACTTGGTGGAGGCGGTAATTCTTCAGGTGGCGGTGGGAAAGAATTACCCAATACACATGGAACATATTCTGAAGGTTCTGGCGGTGGTGGTAAGTCGTCTGTAATAAAACAATTATATTTACTTTAATAAAAAAAAGGAATGAAAATAAATTTTTAAAAATTATGTTCTTAGTATAACTTACCATTATTGTGTGCAGAAGGAATATTACAATATGTATTTTCTGGTTTAGAATTCCATTGAATATTGCTGTAGATAATATCTTTTTCAGTCTTAGCTGTCTTATTAACTGGTATAGATATTGGAGAACCTATATTGCTGTATACAATGTTCTGTGTTGTTCTTGAATGATCTTCAACTGGGATTTGAGGAGTAGGCATATTTCCAACATTTGAATAGTGATTCTTTTCATCATATCTATATTTTGGCTCAAATTTTTCATCCGATTGATGCATATAAAAATTTTCATTGTTTTGGTAGCTTTTAGGAACATCATTTCCATTTAAAGTAGATGATAATGAAAAATCATTTTTCTCTATGTTCAGTGGCACATATGGCAAAGGAGAATTCACATACAAATTTGATGATTTTTCATTTTGGCCAGAATTATTAAGTAATGTACTATATGATGGCACAGAAGCAGCCTTTATAATATAACTTTGTGGTATCTGTAAAATATTTCACACAATTAAAGTTTACATAATAAAATTTATATAAAGAACTTATTTGTTTCATTAATTTTACCATTAATGTTTCCATGTAATAATGGAACAGTCATAGAAAGAAAATATAAAATATTGTTAGTAGAAAATTTATTATATATAATGTTTATATAACCTACTGACCTGTGGTTGTGATTTTTTTGGTTTTGGAGGTACAGCTGGTCCTACTTTCTTTCCAGACTTAGTGGTTTTAACGCCATCCTCATGATTAATTTGCAAATTTGCAATTTGTTGTTCCAAATTACTAACATTAGACATTTTCCTGCAAACAATAGCTCTATATATAATTTCTTTGTCTTCACATTACTTAAAAATTATAAAAATTATGAATATTATAAATACTTATGTTCAAATTGACAAAATGTAAATACATATATTACCAAAGAACGTTATCGCAAAAAATTCAGTTGGATATTATGTCTGTGAAGTAAAAGTACTACCTGTCTGTTGCAAAATGGAGTTCATACCGTTGAAAAAGTCATTAATATTACCTAGTAAGTTAATGAACTATTCCTTCCAAATACTTTATTTCAAGTAATCTTCTCAATATCAAAATTGAGCAATTTTTAGATTTTAAGAAGTTGTCAGATTTATTCTGCGCTCGACCATAGCACAATTGAATGGTTGACTCACACATTCCTTACCTTTTTACTTCAAAAATTCCTTTACAGTGACTTTTCCTATGCATATAGGTCCAATCATAGCTCTTTCTCGTTCTTGTAGCACGACATTCAATCAATAATCAAAATATAGTTCAGAGTTGTTTATTGTTTATTGTTTAAACAAATAAGAAATCATCTACAAATTTTAATGTGTATGAACTATAAACATACATATATTATTCGATAATTCTCTGGACGGTTATTTGAAAACGAATTTGAATGTTTAATATACCAATATGTATTATTTCCAAAAGTCTTAACTATATCCTAAATCACAGATTACAATATTGCATACTGTCCCATATATTAATTACAGTAAATTGTGTTATTATAAATAATATTAAATATTATTATTATAAAAGCATATAATATATACATTTGAGACTAGGGATTTCAACTTTAGATACTCGACATTTATAATTCTACAAACTTAAATATTTTATCATTATTATTATTTTATATTATTTCTATTCATCATTTGCGACGTGAATAAATTATCTAATTTAACATGACTAATTAAGATTTTTTTTTCCTTTCTAAATCTTTAATTTTAACATTAATTTTTTTTAACTACGAAAATGATTGAATTACGTGTTTAAGGTTAATATTGCGCACTATTTTTGAAAATATGATTTTAAATTTTTTTATTTACAATAAAATAAAATAAAACAAATGAATAAAATTATTGTGTAATTTAATTTTTTACGCAATAGAAATACAATTTTTATTTTTAATTTAATCTACCAGACTTTTCATGTTTAAAAACATTTTATCGTATGTATGATGAAATTTTGCAGCATACACGAAAAATATAAAAAAAAAGTGGATAAAAATTAGTTAATAGATTGTAAAAATAATTAAATATTGCGTATTTCTTATTTTTTTCAATTTTTTTTCTTAAAACATTGAAATAGTTACATGATATTACATAAACTAGAATAAAAAGTTTTCTATTGTTAGAATCATTTCAATTTACATTTACGATCAAAGGGACGATATTATTTTGTGAACAAGTCAGCACGTAGAAAAGATAGCTTTATCAAAGATTACGATTCTTAATGATCACGTACACGATAATGTCGATAATTTAATGAATAGATATTGAGAAATTAATGTCGTTGGCAGTAAATAAAGATTATTACATTTTCGATCACATTCATAGATTAGATTACATTTAAAAATATATTTTATTTTTTATTATTTTTTATTTTCTGCACTTGCTATATTCATTAATATTTTGATTTCATTTATTTGTAATATTGTAATGTTTATATTGACGTTTATTTATTAAAATTTTTTGTCAATTTATTATATATCATTATTTTAAAATAAATCATTATTGCGAATTCACAGTTGCTAGTTTTAAAGATATTGTTGAAGAATAGTCATAAAATTATTTATAGATTACAAAAAAGTGAATTATTATTATAATATTTATTGGAAAATGTTTTGCATATCAATAAAGATTAATTACTATGAAAAAAAAAATTGAAATATTAAGAAAGAAAGAATTTAGAAATTAGAATTCTTTTAAAAATTATTTTAGTTCAACTAAAAAAAAAATTATGTATATTTAGAAATATAAAATATTTATTTCAAAATAATTTTTATAGTAATTTCTTTTCTAATGATTATAATCTAGATAATTATATTCACTCTATAATATTCTATCTAGACAATAACATTAAAATTAATAATGGAAACTTCTATTCTTTTTTAATAAATAATGGAAACTTCTATTCTTTTTTAATATTAGATTTTATTTATTCGTTGAAACAATAAAAGATAGCTACATACATATGTATTAAACGATTGGTCGATCATTGTTTATGATTATTTTTACCTCATTTTGAATAGGGTAATATATATTTAGTTCGTTAAAAAAAATTTCATTATTTTTATATTTATTTATTTGACGATTTAAAAATTCTAATTAGGTAATGTATTTAATTAAGTGAACTTGTAGTAAATACGTATCATATAATTACATGCATTATGTAACTATTAATTCTGATTGACCGCTATCTAATATCTAATATCAAGCAAATAGAAGAATTTGCTTGATATTCCAAATTAAATATTTGGATTAAACTGTCCTCAATATAGGCTGTAGATAATTTTACGCACAACAATCTTTTTTAATGTTAACATCGCATATTCTTACGGAATTTGGATGTTATTAAGAAATACAATTATTAAGCAAATATTTTCTTTTACAAATTTTCATAATTAAAAAAAAAAAGCTAAAATGTATGTAATTAAATTTCAGTGACTAAGTTACATGAAGAGCTATAGGAAATTAATTACATCACTTTCGAATAAAATAATTTATATGCATCAAATAAAAAAAATTTATATTATCACTTTATTAGGATTTCTTTTCTTAAATAAAAAAATTTTCGCTTTTTGGTTTTTGTTTCTTTTTCATATTCAAAGTGATTATAAGAAATACTAACATACTTTATTACTTTATTTTATTTTCCAATGCGTTTTTTTAAGGTTCTACATTTGTTCTACATGTTCTACATTTTAAAAGTTTTACATTTTATTTTCATAGTAACATAATTTTTTTATACAAATTTTGGTAATTATATGAAATAGCATGCAAATATTTGTTGTAATTACTGCTAGGCCATATTATTCTAAATCACTACCTAAAATTGATAAATTCTAGATTTTATTCAAACCTTAAAGATATGAGGAATTTTCCCATTTCATCTCTTATCATAGAAACGTGAGTTTTTTTATACAAATCGAAACTAAAATTATGATTACAGCAGATATTTATGACGAAAAATTATTCTTGAGTGCCTGTATTTCAGTTATTAAATATTTCATTCATCGGAATAAAGAATCTATTTTAATCATGGTTTAATACAGATCCAATTTTACAAATTTCTTTTCTAACAAATGTCCTCGACTCGATTTGACAATTATCAAATCGAATAGTCATTGCTATAATTAAATGTGTAATTAAATACAGCAAGCACGTTTTAATAAGATTAATTAAAAAATGCATTTCTAATTTAGTCACTCATTTAACTTACAATTAGAATCTAAATTTAATATTACCCGAATGATATACATTATATAATATATAGATGATAAACATTATTTTATTAACAAGAAAAGTCGAAAAATATTTCGAACTTTTACGATTTTTGTTTATTAAAACTTTAGCAAGGCGATATAATCTTATAAATTTCCATACAAGGAAACTTAAACTTATAAACTATCATACAAGGAAAAGATTTTATCTTTTTCCTTGAATGATACAAATTATTTCGAATGTTTTTTAAAGATGTAAAAACAGTATATATATAATAGAATTAATATATATGTATGTATCGAACAAATAACATGGACGACACAAATATTCATAGAATCTCCAAGCAAATATTCATTACAAATAATAAAGAAAAATGTCAAACGAAGACTGTAATTATATATGGTTATATATGGCAATAATAAATTTTGTGCACATATTCTTATTATTAGTCATTGGCACTGATGCGCTTGGACATCCCCGTGATGATTACATTTAGTAACATTTTACACAGAGAGGGGGAATATCCAGGAAAAATGGTTGTATGTTGTATAGTTGGTTCATTTGCTTTGTCGCAATAGTTAGCAGTTAATGGTCTCAGTTGGTAAATAGTTCTTGTTCTAAGTGTTTAATTTAATTCAGTTATATTTCTATTTTAGTTCTACGAAAGTGATTTCTTTTTTAAAATTTTATGGTAATATAATTTTTCATTAATTTTTATTTATAATTATTATCTTAACTAAAAATAAAAAGGATTTATATTTATGTTTTTATTGATTGTTGTACATTTAAATATATATATATGTATATATGTATAATTCGTAATTGATAGCGTTGATACGACAAAGATACTATTTTAATCTTTTATTACATTGATTAGGTAATTATATTATTTGATTTACATAATCTAATTTTTATTTAATTAAACGTTTAAATAATGCATTCTATTTTGATGTTATTATTTTAAATATAATACGTTTAGATTAGAATTTTAATTGATATTGAAATATATAATAAATTATCTTTTTTCAGAGAAATCTTATACCATGCAGAGTAATTATCCTACCGAGTCTCACAATGATCCAATAGTCGCAACAGTGTCTCATTTGCGTAAGCAGGAAATGCAGAATAATGAAAAAGCAACTGAAAACACTTGTTTGACATCTAATAATAGTCAAACATATTTTGCTGATGAAAGAGTTCACATACCAGAAGTAGAAAATGTAGTATATATTGATATCAATGCAGGTTAAAGTAATTAATTTTAATGATAATATGTGGATTTTTAACTGTATCCATTTTAATTTGGTTTTTACAGGGTTTCTTTAGTTTTAAAAAATTATGGGCCTTCACAGGTCCTGGTTTTTTAATGTCTATAGCTTATTTAGATCCTGGAAATATAGAATCTGATTTGCAATCTGGCGTAGCTGCTAACTATAAGGTGCTTTCTTAGTTAATTTATAATTTAATTTTTTATAAGTGAGTTTTAAAAATTTTTTAAATTTATTCTTTTTATCAGTTATTATGGGTATTATTAAGTGCAACTATTCTTGGCCTTGTTATGCAAAGGTTAAGTGCAAGACTTGGTGTGGTAACAGGTTTGCATTTGGCAGAAATATGTTACAGACAATATAAAACGATACCCAGAATAATTTTATGGATAATGATAGAAATAGCTATAATTGGTAGTGATATGCAAGAAGTAATAGGAACAGCTATTGCTTTATCTTTGTTAACAAATAAAGCGTAAGTTATGAGATTGATTTTATTTTTTATATGATTTATTCTTGTTTTTGTAGCTACATATGAATAAAATGTATATTTAATTTGATTTAGGATTCCTATTTGGGGTGGTGTACTTATTACAGTAATTGACACCTTTACATTTTTATTATTGGACAAATATGGTTTAAGGAAATTAGAACTCTTTTTTGGATTCCTCATTGCAGTAATGGCTGTTACATTTGGGTATGAGGTAAAATAAATAAATAAATATACACACATGTGCATGTATCTATATGTACGTATATCTAGGTATATGTGAACCAAAATAATTTTTTATTTTTATATTTCAGTATGTTGTTTCTGCTCCACCTCAAGATCAAGTGATAAGTGGAATGTTTATACCTTGGTATAAGGATTATGACAGAAATATGTTAATAAAAGCTGTAGGAATTGTTGGTGCAGTCATAATGCCACATAATTTATATCTTCACAGTGCTCTTGTTAAAGTAAGGAAAGAACAAAGAGTATAAATTATCTTTTTTATGAAATTAAAGAAGTAGGCATTCTGATGTATTAAGTATTTGCTAGGTATTAAATAAATATTATGATACAATTTATAATTTTTAGTCAAGAGACATCGATCGTAGAGAATCTAAAAAAGTAAAAGAGGCAAATATGTATTACTTCATTGAGGCATGTATTGCACTTCTGGTATCTTTTATAATTAATGTATTTGTCGTCGCGGTGTTTGCACATGGTCTTTTTAAAAAAACTAATTTAGAAGTTGTGAGTATAATAAATGAAATTTTGCAATATAATTATGTATGTGATATATCTATATTCATTTTTTTATATTTCAGTACAACCTATGTAAGGATAACAATTATACAATAGGAATGCAAACATTTGAAGTAAGAACAAAAAATTATTAGTACAAAATTATATATCCGAAAATTTTATTTTTTCATTACATTTCATTTTATCAATTATAGCAAAACAATACAGCTATTTCAGCAGATCTCAACAAAGGTGGAATATTTTTGGGTTGCGCTTTTGGTGCGGCAGCAATGTACATTTGGGCAGTTGGTATTTTTGCTGCTGGCCAATCTTCCACAATGACAGGAACGTATGCCGGTCAGTTTGCAATGGAAGGATTTTTAAATCTGCAGTGGGCTCGTTGGAAACGAGTACTGTTTACGCGAATGATCGCTATTGTTCCAACTTTCCTCGTAGCATTTTTCAGTGACATAGATAATTTAACTGGCATGAACGATATTTTAAATGCTATTATGACTCTTCAATTACCTTTTGCAACCTTACCAACAATAGCATTTACTAGTAGCGTTCAAATTATGGGTGAATTCCGAAACGGATTGTATGTTTTACATTTTTTATTTTATAATTTAGATTTTTAAAATCCATAGAACTTAATAACTAAATAACTAATGTATATTTTTAAATTTTAGAGCTAATAAAATTATTGCGACAGCACTATCTGTTGTTGTAATAATTATAAATATATATTTTGTAGTAAATACTGTCCAAGAGGACTTGCCACATCACTGGCTGATAATATGTGGTATTGTTATATATTCTATTTCATATCTTTTATTTTGTTTTTATTTGACGATCCATATGGCTGTGAGTATGGGTGCAACTTCTCTTGGTGACCATTGGGTATGTATTAAGTAAGATAATTAACACCTCAATTATTATATTACTGTTAACTTTTATTGCAGTTTGTAAGAAAATACATTGGGACTCCCGTAAATACAACACTTGGATTATCAAATCCTGCACTATATGCAAGGTAAGAATTGTATGTATTTTATATATAACAAAACTTTGTTTCATAATTGTATTATCATATTTATTACCTAAAAATAAAAAAAAGAAATTCATTCACACAATATTGTATAAATATATATAAGGTGTTTCACATTCTTGACATTTTGATTGCGTGATTATTATTATTAATAACGAAAAATTTTTATATGGAAATTAAATGTTGTCAAGGAAGACATATTATTTTGTTATTAATTTTTTTGTACGTAGACTCGTAAAGATCATATCAAGGTGAATTTTGTTTTTTTTTTTAAATGATACTCTTTATTTTTTTTATATGGACAATACACCAATCAATGCAACTTTTTGTCCTTCATAAAAAAGTTGACCTATTTATGTTAAAAAGTTAATAGCTAGAAGATATTTTAGCTTTAATTCTGTAAATTTATTGATATGAAAGATAAAAAAAGATAAGAGCAGTATTGTGTTTACATTATTCTTGTCTTTCTTTTTATTTAAATTTTGGAAACTTCATTTGAGGTTTATTGTCTTTGTCTTTTATGCATAAATTTTTTAAATTAAAATTAAAATATTTTCTAAACTATTAATTCTTCGACATAGATTAATTTTTATAGAGAATAAAAAGTTGCATTGATTATAAAAAATATAGGATTCCATTTAAAAAAAAAAACAAAATTAATTTTCATATGATCTTTATGCATTTACCCACAAAAAAGTCTAATAACAATGTAATATTTCTTTCTCGATACCATTCCACATAAATTTTTTTTTCGCTCCATATAATAATAACCATGCAATCAAGATGTTAAAATCAGGTAAAATACCCTGTATATTGTATAAGTGCAAAAAGCAATTTTTTATGTAATATCTTTACACATATTCTTGTCTTACACTATCCTCATCCATATTATAATTAACAATGTAATATAATAATGTCTGTATTTTGCGCCAAAATGTATAGTAAATAACATATGTATTGATAAATTACTTTTATAAATATTGTAAAAATAATTGTTAGTTCATGTGATGTGTAGTTAACACAGTAAAGAGATAATCAAGTAGTATTTGTAATATATTTTTTAAATGAATTATGGTGATCGGCATGTATGTTATGAATTTTCTCTCGTTTCTCTTATGCTTGAGAATAACTTATTAATACATCATACTTGTTGCAACAAATTAATGTTATTATATGTGTTCATTAAAATAACAAACCCTATAAAATCATTCGGTATAATATGTTTTAAAATATATATTTATGTAATATTATTACTGTTGTTTGAAATTTATCATATTATTCAACTTTAAGATAAAAATGCACATCATAAAATTATAGTTATGATTATACATTAAATACAAAACATTATATAGACACGTATGCTAAATTAACATTGTATACATTTTGCAAAAAATATTAATATATATATGAAACAAATTCGCGAATATATGATACAAATTCTATGTGTTTTTATTTTATCATTATATATTGTTATTCTTTATTATTATTCTATATTAAAGAACACTTATATTCTTTCATTACATTTTTGACTTATAAATTAATTTTGTAATTAATTTGTAATTCAAAAGAAAAAGTTTTTAAGTTTTAATATTTTCACAAAACGTCTTTATATTCATTATTATTGTTTAAATACTCAATTATTATCAAGTTAAGGTTTCGGAAATTATTCTTTTTATATTCATAGCTTCTTCAATGCATCAGAAACATCATTAAATATATAATAACGTTTGCATCATGAATCTACCATTAATTAATTAAAAAGATATTTCAAAAGTTATCCCTTCATCTGCCTTCAACTTTAGACATGGTATGTATTTTATATCAAATTAGTATTTTTTTCTTGTTATAGTCATAATAAAAATAAAAAATAAAAGTTAATATAATAATGTAAAAAACTTTTTTCAAACACTTTTAATCATTATAATTATATTTTTGTTAATAATCATCACGTGAATAGTTAACTAAATATTTTTGCACGCACATTTTTAACCAATTTAACTGTCATAACTTATTTAGGTTAATTAGATTTTCAAAATTTCTTAATAAAAGGTAAGAAATTTTTGAAACTTTTTATTTTGATCATTTGAAGAAAATTTAAGTTATCTTATTAACTTTTTTTAATATAAAGTTATTTGATGTTTTAGGTCTAATCCTGCATTTAATATCCAAGAAAATTGGTCTGGAAATTTTACATCAATATCAGAATATTGATTGAAATCTGATACAAGTAAAACATAGAACATTCAATACTCATGATTTGCACTCTCTTGCATTTTAAGGTTTGCATTGTATAAAATTAAAAATTATAAATTCCTATAATTCAAATTGTTTTCTAAAAGAGTTTTAACGATAACGTAACGATGTTATTAATGGCAAAATGATCGTGTGCGTATGTGTATATACAATTTTATTAAACATAATATATTAAAATTTTAAATACAATATAAAAGTAAAATAGATTTGTGTAAAATAAAGTAAAAATGAAAAAAACTTATATGAATTATACTTGAAATGTAAGAATTGTGATTCAAAAAGAACTATGATTAAAATTTGTAAATATATAAAATGTAATTAATATAAAATATATAAAATATATAATGCTATTCATATAACATGTTTATGTTTGTACTAATAATTATAGAGCGAATATTTTCTTTTCACTTAAGAATATAACGGTATATGTTCAATACGTACTAACATTAAGAATCAGTTGATTAATCTTGAGGATGCACGTACTTTGTATAAGATAGCTTTATGTTTTTTGTTACAACATATAAATAAAATTATTATTTTAAAGGAAAATAGTTAAAAACACCAGTAAACGATCTTTTTTTTTGCAATATTTGTTTTATTCATATTTAAATCTCATAAAAATATTTTGATTAAAATACAATTGATACTTATATGCTTATATCAATATCGAAAGATAAAATAGTTTAAAAAAAAGAAATTCTTGGATTATAATCAAGTAAAATTTTCCTTTTTCCCTTTATATATTGTCTTCTTTATTTTTTTCCAATAACAAACATAGTCGCATACTGATATTACATTATAAAATGTAATAATGAAATATTTAAATATATTTCTGCTGCTTAAAAGTATGTTTTAATTGTAACTTAGAGTATGACTAGATATTTTCTGAGGTATTGCAGATAAATGTATGTTATGCCTATATTTTAAATTCAATTTAGTATGAAAAAAAAACTGAAAGATACCCTGAGTTGATAAATCTGATTTAAAATTTATTATTTTTTAATCGTCGTATATTAGTAAACAGTATTTTTAATATCAATTTTTTGCCGAATTAATCTATAATCTATTTATGGTTCATTCATCACAGATTATTTTTTTGTTCACATCGCATAAAAATCAATTTAAGTAATATAGCACTTTGCAATCACGAAAGCCATTAAGACTCTTACACAATTTTTATCAAACTATTAAAAATCATTATAACAGCTTCTGTTTTCAACAATTCGTGTATACAAATAGTATATAATTTTTCTTAGATCAAATTCTGCAAACGATTATGTTTGTTTGATCATGTTCGATTATGTTGAATTATGAATTGAAATATTTTACACCAATAAAAAAGTACAAATATCATAAAACATATAACACTGTTTCCCAATGTTTTATGCAAACACCTTGCGTTAGACTTACTTTTTATAATCGATAATTCCTTAATGTATGTTTTTACATTTGATTTTTCAAATATCAATTTATCTTAGTTTTGCATATTACTTGATTATGAAGTCGTTGAGTATCGTAATGAAAGCAATGCATCATATTTTCATATATTATATCCAATATTAATAATTATATAGGATCCGTCGTTAATCGAAAGTAATACTGATTATGTTCTCGCTTATAATGCCAATAAATAAAGCCAATTATAGATAAAATTAATAAAACTAATATCAATATAGAAGATGTCATTATTGCTGAAACAAAACAAGGATTAAATGAAAAACTAATTTTGAATTATTTTAATATAAAAACTACATTTATATTATTGTAGGAATTTACCAATAATCGCTGTTGTACTCATATTATGTTTAAGTTGTTCCCATTCAATAGCACATTCTTTTTCCCAATTTATAGGTATAACATCTTTCGTTAATCTAATGAATTGATTTAAGGGACACATTGTAGTACAACCAGGAAGTTTTAGGAATTGTGCCTCCAGGCTAATATTTTTATATGATATCTAAAAAAACACATTCAATTAATAGTTTTGCACTGTTATTTCTAATTTAATTATTTTGAATACCTACTGTTACAAAATACTGATCTTTTAAATTTACTCTTAATTCTATCAAAATTGTAGCAGTATATGGAGGACAATGTGGTTCAAAAACATTTAATGTCATTAACATGTTGGCTATAGTTTCATCATGAGCGCTATACATCCATACCTTCCTATCAGGTACTAAAGCATTTTTCGATTTTTTTTCCATATGGTCTATCATTTCTCCAAGTAAGGATCCTGTATTTTATATTGTCTAAATTGTAATATATATGCTATAAATTTTTTATATAATAAAATTAATATTACCAGATTTTAATCTTTGAAGTATTTTATTGTAGGCACTAGTTGTAAAACTTTTTATAGCAATGAGTTTAAGTTTATCTGGATATATTGACTTTGTCCATTCTGGCAATGTTTTATTATAAAGATCCTATAATAAATTTAGAATATATGAAATATATAAAATATGTAAAATGTAGTACTACTCAAGCAAGGAATATAGAATGAAATAATATAATTCACCTCAATAAATAATATATCATAAAGTTGTTCAACAGATCTTAGAGATGAAATTTTATTTCCTGTTTTTTCTGTAAGATATGCATACAATTTTTCATTTTCTTTATTTATTTTTTGAATTTCTGGAGAATTAAGAACTTTTTCTAGTTCATAATCATATCTAGGACAATATTTTTTAGCAGCCAAAATATTATCCTTATCTTCAGGAATAGTATGCACTGGAATAGGCATCCATTTAATATTACTCCATATTTGTTTACTAACTGGAGGATATAATCCTGCAAGTTGTGATTCTGCTGACATTAAAGTACGGTCTACATCTGTACTTTGAATGTAAATATCATATGGGGAATATAAATCATTTAGTAGATGTGAATAGCGTTTGCGTATCCAACGACCAAGTAGTAGGTGTTGATTTTTTCCAATCTAGTATAATAATATAATAATAATATTAATTTATTAATATATGATAATAATGTATTAATATATCAATACATAATAATAATAATAATATTATATATATATATACATATATATTATTAAAAAGATATATATATTTAAATATTTTCAGATTTAAAAACATATTAAATGCAGTCAAAGTGATAAATTGAAAAAAAACGATCTTTTTCTCTTTACAAAAAAAATGTTTGAGTAATAAAGCTATATATATATATAATAATTAAGATCTACATACATTTGTTAATTGGCCATATGGAACTGGCCATATACTTTCGTTATTATAAGGATCATTTGGATATGTTCTTATAGGTGTTCTATCTCCATGTCTATATAACTGTAAAATAAATTGTAATTATTTTTTAATAAACAATAACAAATTATTATTATTATAATTAAGATTATAATAGAATATATATTTCAAGTTGCTTTATAAAATAAATGTAAATTACATAAATTCTAGTTATACGAATAATTAGAATGTACAATATAAACATTATTCCTATTTCAGAGAGTGTTTTTTAACTTACAACATTTGCAAAAACGATAGTTCCAAAATCTGTATCTTGAGCATGTAACAAATCCATAATAAAGAAAGCCACAATTATTAAGACAAGTAAATTTCTTTTCATATTTTCAGTATAATGTATGATTGACATTTTTGAATTACTAATGAAAAGCTTTATATAGAAATTGAATAGGATAACAATCTATTGATTACTGCAACCTGTAGAATACTCTGAGTATTCCAATATTTGTTATCACTGTTATCACTTTCAGTATCATTTATATAAAACATATATAAAATACATATCAAGCAATTTGAAAAGAGTCTTATGTTACAAAATTTAATATTTCGTTGTTGCCAATATTAGTTTCCACTTATTTCTTCTTTATATCCTATTGAAATAAGAATAAGGTTATTTATACAGTGGTACTCATATGATAGATTGTTTTTAAAAATTTATTTTATTTTATCTAGAATACTAATCTATTTTATTTAGAATATCGATTCCTATTCAGATTTTAAATTTTTTATATATAAATGGTGGAAATGATTAAAATAATTAGTAAATGATTAAAATAATTTGTAATTCGAATACGAATATTCATTAATTATATTTTATCTATGCTTGATAAATTATCTTGCGATATTTTGAAAGAATGTTCCATAATTGGAATATAAAGTAATTATAAGTAATCATTATTACCATATAATTGTTGTAAACTAAAACATTGCATGGTTTTTTTTTATTATAAAAGGCAAATTTATTTAACAATTATAATCTATAAAAATATATTAACAAAGTCTTCTTTGCACAAAATTTTATTTTAGACTAATCAATTAGATACAATTGGAAAAAAATGTGGGTTACAATATTTTGTTTATTTCATTGAAATTGTACAAAGTGAAAAATATTACGAAAAGACAATCATTATCATTATAATTGCACTAGTTAATAAACCACTTGTAAAAAAATAACTACAAATAATAATTATTACAAATATAAGAAACAATTGTACATTTTTACATAATATTTGTACAGGATTTCATAACATATGTACTTTCAATTTAAAATTAATTGATTAAAGTGAAAGGAAATTTTTATAATTAGTTATTTAGTATGATACTATCCTAAGTAAATTATAATTTGTATTAGAAAAGTTGCACATTTTAATAAATTCTATCTTTTTGCCTTTAATTTGAATGTACAATATAAAATTTGTATATAATCTCCATTTCTATATTACAATATATGAATAAGCATTATTATTTATAATACATATAAATTATTTTAGATATCTAAGGTGTGTGTGTGTGTGTGTGTGTGTACACATACATACACACATATATATCCACTGATTTTTTAATATATAAACATACAGAGAGTAATCAAACTCTCAAATTTTCTTATACTTAAAATAAATAAAGTTTCATGTATAATCACTGTACATATATTTATATGTAAACAATCGATAGAACAAATGTTAAAAATTTTTGTTCAACTAATTACTTTTTGATCAATTTAATTTATATCAATCAAGAATCACATCGTAGTTTTGGCCATATATGCGGTTAAATTTACTTGAATCATATTAAAAAATGTCTATATTATTTGAATTCAATACTGATTTGAATCCATCATCTAATAGCAAATAGTAGAATATACTTTGAATAAAATCAAGAATAAAGTTTAAATCACAGCCTCCGCTGATGATAACGTTGTGTTAAAGAAATCAAAAATTGCGCTATGAACGGCCATAGGATTAAAACAGTAAATAATCGCGGTGAACATTCTGGTAAAGGCCACCATTTTGGGTATGAAGTTGCTGTAGACTGCTTCTAAAAAAATTATATATTTTACATTGAAGAAAATAGAAATAAGATAAAAATTCTATTTTATTTATTTACACATACTATTGATGGTGCCAATGCTTGTAATGTTTGACCCTCTAAACTGCGCACTCGAGCTGTTATTCTATCTAAATCTCTTTGCAAGTTCTGCATAGTTGTAGCTATTTGATTGAAAAATTCATCAGTGTATTTTTCATCTTTTTTAATATGCTGTTTATTTCTTTCTTGTTTATTTTCTGTTACTGATTCTGTATATCCATTTGCATATCCATTAATTAATTCTGAAGAGTTCTCTTTTTGAATAATTAAGTCAGTACTTTTATCAGCAAGACTATTTAAGCTATTAATCATCTTCTGGGTAATATTAATTGTTTTTGTTGTGTCTTTTTGTATTCGTTCTGGAGCTGACTATGGTGCAAGAAAAATCAATATCAATTATGCAAGTTAAGAATAAAAATAATGTTTAATACTGTGCATTGTCTATAATACCAGTAGCTTACTTCAACAGTATCTATAAATTCGTCTTCACCATCAGTATCTGGTGGACTTGCACTATGGCTAGTAGCTGGGCTTGTTTCTAAACTACTTGCAATATGCCGAGTAATATTGCAAATTCTATGTGGTGATGTCTCTCTTGATGCTGTATAAAAAAAATACTTATTGCAAGAATTAAATTGATTCAAACTTTTCTATTTTTCATTTCATTGGTATTTTACTCATTAGCACAAGTTTTTATTGTTTTATTGTTTTATTATTAAATCAGTAAATGAAAGATAAAATATATTTTTACAAATACAAACCTAAGGGAGAACCAGATAATGGCATTCCAGGTTGTGAACGCATACGTTCCAATACAGGACCAAGAAGTAATTCTAAATCTTCAGGTGGAACACTTTCACAAAATGAATCTAGACTGTCTAGAAAATTAGCTACTTTGTCTGTATAAGACATTGTTTCTACAATCTATTAAATTATATACAAATATTAAATTATACTCAAACATTCTATAATATTCAGTAAAACTATAGTAATTTCTATAATTAACCTTTTTTAATTCTTCTACATAATTATTCATAGCTTCTGTTTTGCTCATGTTGCCCAATCGTGTCCAAGCTTCCCATTTTGCTTTTTTAACCACTTCCCAGAAAGCTGGTTTTGGTTGTTGACATGGTCCTTCCATTGCTTGTTTGTAATATGCATAAAAACGCAGCATGATTTCATTGCTAGGTTGATATGCACCTGAAACATAAATCATTATCAATAATATGTTTATTACTGTAATTTTATTAATGAACAATTTAGTTCTATGTGAAATTATAAAATTTGTGTTTTTTGCATTCAATACAGAAAAATTTGTGCTAGTATTATTCAAATTAATTGTAACACTGTAAATTCTTATCAGATTAATAATATTTTAATTGTACAACTTTTGATCAAAGAGTCAAAAGATAATACAATATATTTAATTATCATACATTCTAAAAAAAATGTAAAGACTTTAAATAAATTCCTATAATATTATATATTGTTATGTTTAATCAATAAAAGTTTAAATATTTAATTTTTTTAATAAATTTTCTTCTTTATATTTAACAAAACATATATAAAAATTTGTAGTAAATTAGAAAAATTGATAATTGTGAAAAATAATTGACATATTTGTGATCATTCACGAAGAACATTTTAAACACAAACTACAATTCACCTATTCCTATTCTGTTAGAAAGTGAAATGAGAACACACACACATTCACTTGTATTAAATGGAAAGTATATACATATTTATGAATTTAATGATAGTAAAAATGTACTATACTCAAAGCAATATCAAAATTTAATCTTTCAGATTTGTATAAAACAAAGAAAATTTCTTTTCTACAAAACTTACATTCATAAATTTTACACGAAAACAAAATTAAAATAATTATAAACACTTACGCAATGAAATATACTCGTATGTTATAAAACGTCAGTCAATCACAAAATAAAAATTTTTACTATTTCATTTTGTATCTAATTACAAATATCTAAAATTGCATAAAATTAGCGAAAAACATATTTTAATAATTTGCAAATTTAAAATATACAGATAACATATCAATAATTTGAATACATTGCAGGAATGTGTGAAATAATATTTTTGTTTTCTACTTCAACAGAATAAACAAATAAATATTTTACGAGATCGAGATATGAACTTTGTACGATTATTACACAAGCGTTTTTATATAAAAAGTAAATCTTGTAAATATAGTTGTCGCTAATTAAAAAACCAGTTTGATATGTTTCGTAGTAAAAAAAACTAAAAAAAAAACGTAACGTATAACAAGTTGTGTTAATCACGTAAAGCGCTTTGCGCAAAGCATAATAAAATAATAACATACGAAATGGAAATACGATTAAGTATATTGCTCAAAAATAGCATTTGACAACTCGACGACTGATGATATTAAGATCATAATTTATTTTAAATGTTTGAGAAAATTTACCATTCTTTGGTAAATTCCTGATCACATTAACAGCCGCCTGAAACTGTTCTTCCGTCGTCATGGCAAGATCTGTAGCTTTGAACAGATAGATATTCACACTCACTTTGCTATAACCTTATTTTTTTTTTTTTTCGTTAATTATCAATCACTTTCAATAATTTAAGGTATTTGTTTTCGACCAAACAACAAACGTAAAAAAAACTAACTCGATATCCTTTAAGTTATATGAGAAATTAAGTTAAAAATAAGGCATATAACGATAGAATGACAGATCACCGATTGATGACTGGCGATCGTCCTGTGATCATACACGCATGATGGCGCATGCGCGTTAAATGATCGTCGAGCAAAGTTTAACCCCTTCTTTTCACTTTTTATCATAAATGCCACAATTGTCTTCTAAATTTTGAATAACTCAAAAAGAAAAAACATAGTTTTCAGTATGTTCATTGATTGATTATTTTGTCGTTTGAAAATATTATGTTCCTATATATATATTGAATGGATAATTAGATCACGTTATAAAAGTAGCATATAACGGATATTTTTAATGCAAACCGTTTCTTTTTTCTATGATAAATAGAAATTGTTATTATTTATTAGACAAGATAAGAAAATGAAATTTACATATATAGAAATAGTAATTGTTGAGTTTGACAGTCTGTCTTCTGTTTTATTCATTATTTTCATGTAAAAATAAAATATTATTGAAAAATGTTTGTTATATTGTTATAATTATTAAAAAAATGTGAATTTTATAATTTTATAATTTTTTTCAATAAAATTTTTGAAATCTTTTTGATAAAAAGTTCATTTTTAATCATTATCTATGATACACAATCCATGATAATAGATTATTTTCGAAATGATGATTCCATTAAGATATAAATTTTTATATTTTTTTCAAAGACATAAAATATAATAATAATGAATACATATATTTTTAAAAGAAATTAATCATTCTTTTAATCTTTTACAGCGTTACAAATCTTGATATATATGTAACTGCATGCACATGCGTGAACGGTTACATTTTTATAAATTCAGAAATACATTAACAGTTCAGGTGAGTGAATATGTCATTGATTTTACTTGATAAAAATTAATTCAGTTTAGGATATTTAAATTGCATCAATACTTAGATTTATCTTTTATTGAGGATAAGATTTTATTATAGAACAGATAATTTATATAGAATTTGTAAATCTTTAATTTTATGGTTATTGTAAATTGCTTTTATGTAAAAAATGTTTTCTGTATACATATACATAAAAAGAATATTGGAAAATCTATATATCATATGTAAGTTGAGAAAAATGAATATCTTACAATTTCTTTACAATTTTTATAATAATCAATGTATTTTCTGCAGAAAATTATCATTTATGTTTTATTTTATAGGTTAAACTTTTTAAAGTAGAAATGGTTTCAATTGGTCGTGGTCGTGGTTGGGCTCAAAATGATGGACATTTATTATCAAAACCAGGAAAATCATTATATTCTGATGATATGACTTATGTAAATCTTGTTAGTCTCATTAATCTTGTTAACAGCGAAAACGTAGCACAAAAAACTGAAGATGTTGTGAAATTGATTAATGAGAAAGTAAACAAGGAAAACTTGAAGTAATTTTGCAAACTATTTAGTTTTTATAAACATTTTATTAATTTTTGCTTTGAATAATTTATCGTATACAATTATTTTAATTGATTTTAACTGATTGCAGAGAAATACACGACAAACTTTACTCATATGCTTTAAATAATAGAGATTTTGGGCTGAAATTACTAATGGTATATAATTACCCTACAATTAAAAACATATGTGATTCTGAAGGTACAAGTCTATATAAGCACTTAGTAAAACGATTTCAAATTGATTATGAAAGTAGGTATTATTATGTATATTTCAATTAGAAGCTTATAACAGTTGAAATTTATGTATTTGTTAATTCATCTTTAATTATTCTGTAAATTTAGAAAGAAGAGATCTAAGGCAAAAAAATGCAGTTCAATTTCATAATGCTGTTGTCTTATTTTCTAAATATTTAAGTTATATTGTACATTCATCATGCAAGTTCCTCGCATTACAATCTGCATTAATGGATTATATGGAAATGTTGTTAGAAACAGGTTCTCCAGAAGATATTCAAGTTTTTACAGAACAAGTACATATTTGAAATTTTAATTTAAATTTTGTACTTGACTATGGTTTAACTATTTTGATATATTTTCAGCTTATTGTACATGGAAACAACTTACATAGTAGTTATAAGGAAAAATTAGAAGATTTAATGATCACTGCAAGACAAATGTTGATTAAAGAAAATCTTTCTTTTATATCTCGTCAATTTTTATTGTATGCAATAGATTTAGAAAGTAAAAATTTTAATCCATTGCCTAAATATTTACAGAAATTTTATAAATTGCAATTCAGTAAAAATTTTAAAGAAGAGGACAATGATATCGTTAATTCTTTATCAAATATAAATATAGAAGATGGTAATTGCAAATAAAAATTTAGTTCAAAAAGATATTAGTTTTTGTTTCAGAGAATAGTTTGATAATGTCACCCAATATTTTATTAAAAATATAAATGAAACTTAATTAATTTTAGAGCACCTTTCTTCAACGAATGAACCTAATGATCAGAAATATCAGTCTACATGTGCAAATAGTCGAGGTTTAAGAGCAATTCGAGGTTTGGGAGCGGCAGATGTCCCAAAATAAAAATTAATCCTATTATGTATATGTAAACAGAATACTAATATAAAAATTAACAAATACAAATGGAAACAGGTTATATATGTTCTCTATCTTAATTATTTGAGTTTATTTGAAGAATAATTTATGTAATGTTGCTGATAATACTTTGATGTTTCAGGTGTTTGCTGATGACGACTGTACATATTTTATAAATAACAAATTAAATTAAACAATTTAGAGTATTTTTGTGTTTTAGATTATATTATAAATCTAAAATTCCCAAAAATATAATTTTTATGATTAATTTGAGCAGAATAACGAACAAAGTGCATTCGAAATTTATAATGTTTATTAATAAAAAGTATTGTATTATCTACTAAATTTTATACTGAAAATATATTATAAATGTATATAATATTGAAGCAGTATATTCTGATATTCAATTAGGATTGAACTAAGGAATGACTAGGAATGAGCAATTCAATTTATTTACAAAAGGAATTAGTAATTTATTTAATTATAGAGTACCGTTTTCTTTCATTTTAGATAAAATAAAAGTAATGTTAATTATTTTTAAATTATATAATTATCAACAATAAAAGTATTATTTTTTATTCTTTATTCTTTATTCTTTATTATTTTTTATTTTTTATTCTTTATTATTTTCAAGATGTAAATTGTTATATATATTTTTTATTGAATAAATACAATTGAATAAATATATTTTTTCAATTTTTCCTATTTGTTTTATTTATTTTTTTTTTCTTAAAAGTTAAAATAAGATAGCCGCAAAAATAAAATTTGGTCCGGAAAAGATCGTAATTTTAAACTTAAATTTAGAAAAGATGAAGTGATAAAGAAACTATAGTGAAATAATCAAAATCAAATAAAGTTACTGAAATTATGAAAATCTCAGAAAATTATGAAACTTTGAAAGTACACACACACGCATACACACATATCGACACTAGTACTGCACTATATATACGGCTATTATTAATGTTAAAAAAAAGTGTGTTAGACTAAACTTGTTTAAAGTCAAAGGGCATATAATTTCATATTATTAATTTTTTGATAGATAGAGAGCAAGTAAAGGTTAACTTTGTTTTTTTAAATGAAATTATATAATTTTTAAAGCACTAGTAAATTTATCCTGTTTTTTATAAAAAATATTAATTATTTTATATAGGAAAACTATTAGATTAGTAGATATTTTAATTAAAATTTTTTCTAAATTAAAAATTTTAATTAAAAGAAAAAAGAAAACTTCTCTTTCATAAGGTAGATTTTATAAAAATTGAAGTTAAAATATGTACCAATTTAATGGCTTTTCGACAGATTAATACTTTTTATAGAAAATCCTGAGATGATGTTTCAAAAATTATAGGATTTCATCTAAAAAAAACTACAATCTTTGTATATCCACCACATGCCCACCTATCAAAAAAATTTAATACTATCATTGAAGAATAGATAGATCGGATATCATAAATGGGGCTTCGTGTCTGTGGATCTGGACCAGGAAAATAATCACTGGCTTTTAGCGCATTCTACGCTTAAACCACGAGGTATGTATATGAATAGACCAAGCACCTTACGCGGTTTCGTGGTTTGAGATCTGAAATACCGACATAGTAAAAAAATCATTGGTTTCTTTTAGCGCACTCTACGTTTAAACAACGATGAACGGGGAATTACATCAAGTAAAACGATCGAGGTTGTTCCAGTAGTAAATGCGCCAGCAATACGATTTTTGAAACGCATTACAGTGTTGTCAAACTTTCAATAGTGAAGCTAGTAACTAACTCAAATCATCTTACTACATATATGTACATATGTTAGAAAGAACTTTATCCAGATTTATCACGACTTTTAAATATGTAGTAAATTAAAATTTTTAAATTATTAATACATGGTCTTAGCTGTAAATGACTTACATTTTATTAAATATTCTTAAAAACAATTTTTAAATAACTAAATTCTCAACTATTCTGAATTATTATTAATATTAAATTATCAAATTTATGTTAAAATTTTAACAATTTTATTATAATTATGCACTGCAGTTATGACAAATAGTATAAATTCTATAATTCATTAGTAAAAAATTACACGTATTAATTATTAAATAACAAATAAATAACAAAACTTATTAAAAAATAAATTTTTTATTAAAAAATAAATAACAAAACTTGGTTATTTATGAAATATTAATGTAAATCATTGAAATATTAATATAAATCTTCATGAAATATCAATATAAATCTTTAATTTTTTCATGAAGATAAAAAATATAAACATATCTATGGAATACGTCTTTATGTATCTCACAAAATCAATCTATGTTGAATGTGTTTACTAAATTTGATATAAAGGGACACATTATGTGGTGCAAATTATAGTTTTGCAGATCAAGACTAAATATAGGGATAGCACATCAAAACCAAACCGAAACTTTACAATGTCACAGAACATTATTAGAACTAGATAGATCATTTACGCGGTAGCTTCTTGATGTAAAAATAGGTATATCTTTCTCTGATTTGTACTTGTCCTTGACCGAACCTGAAGACGGCTCATACCGTGACAAATTCTAAACAAAGTATTTGAAGGGACATAGGTTTCAGATTTCCTATTCAAAGCATATTTGCTGAAATGCATTCTAAGAGCATTTTGTCTAATGCTGTTCTATTCGTCAGGAAAATATAAAAATATAAAAAATTAAAATATAATATTTTAAATTTAAAATCAGGAAATATTGATTTTTAATAAACAATTATTTTTAATTCTTTTTAATTTCTTTTATTACTATTTTTAACAAAACTTTTTATTGATCTTGAAATATACATTTATTTATTTTTTATAGAACAATATAACAAATAAATAAATAATGCAAATTTCCTTATTTTTAAAATGTTTTCTTTTTCATTTTGATTGTTTATCAAATATTTGAAAACAATTCAACTTTTATTAATTAAAAAATAACTCACTTTCCACTATAATCATTGATAACGCAGAATTTTCATGAATTATAACTAATTTTTCCAAAACAATATCATGAAACTTGAACGAATTTTGACAAAAGAAGAAATGACACTATGTTTTATTTATATGCAGCATGTTTTTCTTTCATCTTAGTTCTATTATTTTATAAGGCAGCGATAATGAATGAAAGAATAGAAATAAAAGCACTGACAATGAATGAAATAATAACACGATAGAATAACACGATCAAGTTATCAATAATGCGTGCCATTAGCTTTAATATTTATTATTGTACTTTTGTAACTGTTCTTAAATGCAATATTTAAATTTCTATCACGAAGATTTGTCGAAAAGAGAGTCAACAAATTATATCTACGAAAAGCGACGATATTATTTGCGTGACTTTGTCATTTGGTTTTTTCATGTTCAATATAACGGATATAAGAATTTAAAAAAATTATTTTTATTTTATTTAATTCAAATATGAAATAAGCATTTTCTTGAAAATCAAAAATATGGATTAAGTTATTTTTGATATCATTTAAATGATTTTATTTAATTCTATTTAAATTTTATTTAAATAAAAATTATATTTTTAATTATTGTTTATTACTTATTATTTAAATAAAAATTTGCCTAAATGATTCGAATGCGGGTAATTGATACTTGGAGTCGAATCNTTTAAAATATTATATTTTAATTTTTTATATTTTTATATTTTCCTGACGAATAGAACAGCATTAGACAAAATGCTCTTAGAAAGCATTTCATTTCAGCAAATATGCTTTGAATAGGAAATCTGAAACCTATGTTCCTTTAAATACTTTGTTAGGAATTCGGCTCAGATAACGATTCGGCTAAACAAAGCACAGAATCTCGTACAAGCAACATAACTACGCACGAAAATCTCGCAGCAAACCCCAACCCACAAATCATAAAATGCCAAAACACAAAACCTCCTCCGATATACGTACATGGAAATATATCAAGCTTCTGGATGCCCTAAAGGAGAAGTATAAAAATACATTTCAAATTAAATTCGTTTCTAACAAGCTAAAAATTATGTTCACCAATTTAGCGACAATTTAACGATTTTAACGACTTCAAAACCATATGCAAAAATGAAAACACAGAACACCATACTTACACGATTAGGACAGAAAAAACAACGACGGTAGTTTTAAAAAGGACCTATATGGTTTCCAGAAGCAGGATATGTAATAATATAAAAAGTTTAAACCCCAACATACTCCAGGAAGTATCCAATATACCGAGGAACATTTGCACCTGGGACATCAATGGCGCAAATAAATCATATTGGATCGATCCATAGAGAATATCAAGATTTATTGAGAAAAATATTGGAAAAAATCGCACAAGCCTACTCTCCAGTGCTTCCTACTAGCTGTAACAGAAAGGCAATTTGTGTTAAGTGCCTCACGATTCCAGAATTTGCAAAAAAACTGTTGAAACTCTACCAACATGCATAAATTGCAAAGGGATCATCCAGCGAACTTTTCAAAATATTCTACCCCTCTAGCTTTTTTAAACAAAAAAAGCTTGTATTCAAACAAAATCCAGCCACCACAATAACTTTCACCTATTCCCCAACAAAACTTCCTATATTCAGCCAACACGAGAATTAAAACAACGTTTTACATACGCAAGAATCTTAACATCTTGAAAGCCACCGCACAATCTCTCGTCATGAGAGCCACAAAATATAACAAATAGTCACTAAATATTGTCAAAATAGCCACTAAAATCAGTGGATTTAAATCTATTTTTAAGAATAATCTCCTTAATCTAAAAACACTAATAATCTTGATAGAGTAAAGCCACAATTTATACCAAATGCACTAATTATCTTGATAGAGTAAAAGCCACAATTTTGATAGTAAAAGAACTGGAAAATGATTCATAGAAAATCTCTCAAATTCACCTTATGGAACGCAACTTAAAAGCGTAAAAAACAAAGCCATAGAACTCCATAAATTCCTTATTGATCACAATTGACATTGCAATTATTAACGAAATCTGGTTAATCTTTACAGATGCATTCAAACACTCAAATTACAATAGAAAAGACGGATCCCTCGCTACCGCTAACAAACCAAGAGGAAGGGTACTCATAGCAATAATATAAAGACATTCCAATTGAAGACATTCCGTAACCTACAGTTACGGTCAAAATTAAATGGACAGGTAATAGAAATAGGTATGAATTAAATTTAGTCAAAGTAGTACTATTATTACG